GGGGGTGGGGCCCAGTGTGACCATCACAGAGGAGGGGCTGGGGCCCAGTGTGTCCATCACAGAGGAGGGGGTGGGGCCCAGTGTGACCAGCACAGAGGAGAGGGTGGGGCCCAGTGTGACCATCACCGAGGAGGGGGTGGGGCCCAGTGACCATCACAGAGGAGGGGGTGGGGCCCAGTGTGATCAGCACAGAGGAGGGGGTGGGGCCAGTGTGACCAGCACAGAGGAGGGGGTGGGGCCAGTGTGACCATCACAGAGGAGGGGGTGGGGCCCAGTGACCATCACAGAGGAGGGGGTGGGGCCCAGTGTGATCAGCACAGAGGAGGGGGTGGGGCCAGTGTGACCAGCACAGAGGAGGGGGTGGGGCCAGTGTGACCAGCACAGAGGAGAGGGTGGGGCCCAGTGTGACCATCACAGAGGAGAGGGTGGGGCCCAGTGTGACCATCACAGAGGAGGGGGTGGGGCCCAGTGACCATCACAGAGGAGGGGGTGGGGCACAGTGTGACCATCACAGAGGAGGGGGTGGGGCCCAGTGTGACCATCACAGAGGAGGGGGTGGGGCCCAGTGTGACCATCACAGAGGAGGGGGTGGGGCCCAGTGACCATCACAGAGGAGGGGGTGGGGCCCAGTGTGATCAGCACAGAGGAGGGGGTGGGGCCCAGTGTGACCATCACAGAGGAGGGGGTGGGGCCCAGTGTGTCCATCACAGAGGAGGGGGTGGGGCCCAGTGTGTCCATCACAGAGGAGGGGGTGGGGCCCAGTGTGACCAGCACAGAGGAGGGGGTGGGGCCCAGTGTGACCATCACAGAGGAGGGGGTGGGGCCCAGTGTGACCAGCACAGAGGAGAGGGTGGGGCCCAGTGTGACCAGCACAGAGGAGGGGGTGGGGCCCAGTGTGACCATCACAGAGGAGGGGGTGGGGCCCAGTGACCATCACAGAGGAGGGGGTGGGGCCCAGTGTGACCATCACAGAGGAGGGGGTGGGGCCCAGTGTGACCATCACAGACGAGGGGGTGGGGCCAGTGTGACCATCACAGAGGAGGGGGTGGGGCCCAGTGTGATCATCACAGAGGAGGGGGTGGGGCCCAGTGTGACCATCACAGAGGAGGGGGTGGGGCCCAGTGACCATCACAGAGGAGGGGGTGGGGCCCAGTGTGACCAGCACAGAGGAGGGGGTGGGGCCCAGTGTGACCATCACAGAGGAGAGGGTGGGGCCCAGTGTGATCAGCACAGAGGAGGGGGTGGGGCCCAGTGTGACCATCACAGAGGAGAGGGTGGGGCCCAGTGTGTCCATCACAGAGGAGGGGGTGGGGCCCAGTGTGACCAGCACAGAGGAGGGGGTGGGGCCCAGTGTGATCAGCACAGAGGAGTGGGTGGGGCCAGTGTGACCATCACAGAGGAGAGGGTGGAGCCCAGTGTGTCCATCACAGAGGAGGGGGTGGGGCCCAGTGTGACCAGCACAGAGGAGGGGGTGGGGCCCAGTGTGATCAGCACAGAGGAGTGGGTGGGGCCAGTGTGACCATCACAGAGGAGGGGGTGGGGCCCAGTGTGACCAGCAGAGAGGAGGGGGTGGGGCCCAGTGTGTCCATCACAGAGGAGGGGGTGGGGCCCAGTGTGACCATCACAGAGGAGAGGGTGGGGCCCAGTGTGACCATCACAGAGGAGGGGGTGGGGCCCAGTGTGACCAGCACAGAGGAGAGGGTGGGGCCCAGTGTGACCATCACAGAGGAGAGGGTGGGGCCCAGTGACCATCACAGAGGAGGGGGTGGGGCCCAGTGTGACCATCACAGAGGAGGGGGTGGGGCCCAGTGTGATCAGCACAGAGGACGGGGTGGGGCCCAGTGTGACCAGCACAGAGGAGAGGGTGGGGCCCAGTGTGACCATCACAGAGGAGGGGGTGGGGCCCAGTGACCATCACAGAGGAGGGGGTGGGGCCCAGTGTGACCAGCACAGAGGAGAGGGTGGGGCCCAGTGTGACCATCACAGAGGAGAGGGTGGGGCCCAGTGTGACCAGCACAGAGGAGAGGGTGGGGCCCAGTGTGACCATCACAGAGGAGAGGGTGGGGCCCAGTGTGACCAGCACAGAGGAGGGGGTGGGGCCCAGTGACCATCACAGAGCAGGGGGTGGGGCCCAGTGTGACCATCACAGAGGAGAGGGTGGGGCCCAGTGTGACCATCACAGAGGAGGGGGTGGGGCCCAGTGTGACCATCACAGAGCAGGGGTTGGGGCCCAGTGTGTCCATCACAGAGGAGGGGGTGGGGCCCAGTGTGACCATCACAGAGGAGGGGGTGGGGCCCAGTGTGACCAGCACAGAGGAGAGGGTGGGGCCCAGTGACCATCACAGAGGAGAGGGTGGGGCCCAGTGTGACCATCACAGAGGAGGGGGTGGGGCCCAGTGTGACCAGCATAGAGGAGGGGGTGGGGCCCAGTGTGACCAGCACAGAGGAGGGGCTGGGGCCCAGTGTGACCATCACAGAGGAGGGGGTGGGGCCCAGTGTGACCATCACAGAGGAGGGGGTGGGGCCCAGTGTGACCAGCACAGAGCAGGGGGTGGGGCCCAGTGTGACCATCACAGAGGAGGGGTGGGGCCCAGTGTGACCATCACAGAGGAGGGGGTGGGGCCCAGTGTGACCATCACAGAGGAGGGGGTGGGGCCCAGTGTGACCATCACAGAGGAGGGGGTGGGGCCCAGTGTGACCAGCACAGAGGAGGGGGTGGGGCCCAGTGTGACCATCACAGAGGAGGGGGTGGGGCCCAGTGTGACCATCACAGAGGAGAGGGTGGGGCACAGTGTAACCATCACAGAGGAGGGGGTGGGGCCCAGTGTGACCATCACAGAGGAGAGGGTGGGGCCCAGTGTGACCAGCACAGAGCAGGGGGTGGGGCCCAGTGTGACCATCACAGAGGAGGGGTGGGGCCCAGTGTGACCATCACAGAGGAGGGGGTGGGGCCCAGTGTGACCATCACAGAGGAGGGGCTGGGGCCCAGTGTGTCCATCACAGAGGAGAGGGTGGGGCCCAGTGTGACCATCACAGAGGAGGGGTGGGACCCAGTGTGACCAGCACAGAGGAGGGGCTGGGGCCCAGTGTGACCAGCACAGAGCAGGGGGTGGGGCCCAGTGTGACCATCACAGAGGAGGGGGTGGGGCCCAGTGTGACCATCACAGAGCAGGGGTTGGGGCCCAGTGTGTCCATCACAGAGGAGGGGGTGGGGCCCAGTGTGACCATCACAGAGGAGGGGGTGGGGCCCAGTGTGACCAGCACAGAGGAGAGGGTGGGGCCCAGTGACCATCACAGAGGAGAGGGTGGGGCCCAGTGTGACCATCACAGAGGAGAGGGTGGGGCCAGTGTGACCATCACAGAGGAGGGGGTGGGGCCCAGTGTGACCAGCATAGAGGAGGGGGTGGGGCCCAGTGTGACCAGCACAGAGGAGGGGCTGGGGCCCAGTGTGACCATCACAGAGGAGGGGGTGGGGCCCAGTGTGACCATCACAGAGGAGGGGGTGGGGCCCAGTGTGACCAGCACAGAGCAGGGGGTGGGGCCCAGTGTGACCATCACAGAGGAGGGGTGGGGCCCAGTGTGACCATCACAGAGGAGGGGGTGGGGCCCAGTGTGACCATCACAGAGGAGGGGGTGGGGCCCAGTGTGACCATCACAGAGGAGGGGGTGGGGCCCAGTGTGACCAGCACAGAGGAGGGGGTGGGGCCCAGTGTGACCATCACAGAGGAGGGGGTGGGGCCCAGTGTGACCATCACAGAGGAGAGGGTGGGGCACAGTGTAACCATCACAGAGGAGGGGGTGGGGCCCAGTGTGACCATCACAGAGGAGAGGGTGGGGCCCAGTGTGACCAGCACAGAGCAGGGGGTGGGGCCCAGTGTGACCATCACAGAGGAGGGGTGGGGCCCAGTGTGACCATCACAGAGGAGGGGGTGGGGCCCAGTGTGACCATCACAGAGGAGGGGCTGGGGCCCAGTGTGTCCATCACAGAGGAGAGGGTGGGGCCCAGTGTGACCATCACAGAGGAGGGGTGGGACCCAGTGTGACCAGCACAGAGGAGGGGCTGGGGCCCAGTGTGACCAGCACAGAGCAGGGGGTGGGGCCCAGTGTGACCATCACAGAGGAGAGGGTGGGGCCCAGTGTGACCAGCACAGAGGAGGGGCTGGGGCCCAGTGTGTCCATCACAGAGGAGAGGGTGGGGCCCAGTGTGACCATCACAGAGGAGGGGTGGGGCCCAGTGTGACCATCACAGAGGAGAGGGTGGGGCCCAGTGTGATCAGCACAGAGGAGGGGGTGGGGCCCAGTGTGATCAGCACAGAGGAGTGGGTGGGGCCAGTGTGACCATCACAGAGGAGGGGGTGGGGCCCAGTGTGATCAGCACAGAGGAGTGGGTGGGGCCAGTGTGACCATCACAGAGGAGGGGGTGGGGCCCAGTGTGACCAGCACAGAGGAGAGGGTGGGGCCCAGTGACCATCACAGAGCAGGGGGTGGGGCCAGTGTGATCAGCACAGAGGAGGGGGTGGGGCCCAGTGTGACCATCACAGAGGAGGGGGTGGGGCCCAGTGTGACCATCACAGAGGAGAGGGTGGGGCCCAGTGTGACCATCACAGAGGAGGGGGTGGGGCCAGTGTGACCATCACAGAGGAGAGGGTGGGGCCCAGTGTGACCAGCACAGAGGAGGGGGTGGGGCCCAGTGTGACCATCACAGAGGAGGGGGTGGGGCCCAGTGTGACCAGCACAGAGGAGCGGGTGGGGCCCAGTGTGACCATACCCGGGGAGGGGGTGGGGCCCAGTGTGACCATCACAGAGGAGGGGGTGGGGCCCCAGTGTGGACACTGACCCCTTCCTCCTGACTTCCTGCACTGTCCTACATCTGGGAAGGAAGGGACGTTGCTCAGTCATGTCCGACTCTTTGCAGCCCCATGGGCCTACCACGCTCCTTCGTCCATGGGATTTCATCTGGGAATCCACACTAACTCTTCCTCTTGGCGATCTGTCTGCAGGCTCCTCCATTTGGCACCCGGCCTGTCGACAAGCAGCCAGAACTGAAGACAAAAACAAGGTTGGTGGAATTCTCCCGATGCCCTTTTCCCAGCCTCTGAGCGACATCACACAGTTAAGGGGGTGCTGAATTGCCTGCAGGCTCAGTGGCAGTCCCAGCAGGCCATGGGGCTGGTGGCCCGAGGCCCACGAGTGTCTAGGTGGAAAGAGCAGGTCAGCTGCTGGCCGGCCCGGGGGATCCCTGCCCTGGCCCTCCTTCTTCCGGTGGATGCCTGTGGCTGTGCAAGTTCAGGGACCACTGAAAAGGTAGCGGATCTCTAAGAGTTCCCAAGAATGTCCATGCTTCTGATGCCAACAGCTGCTTCGCAGGGTCTCCCCAACTGCCCTCAGGTTCGATAACAAGTTAGAAGGACTCAGTACAAAGTGTCACAGCCCGGTCACAGTTTATCCCAGGGAGGATGGCTGGACTCAGCCGCGCGTGAGGCAGGATCCGGGAGGAGGTCTGGACCCAGGCTGCCACCACCCTCTCCTGGTGGAGTCCAGATTCCCCAGCTCACAGCGCCGGCACACATGAGGCGCTGCCAACCAGGGAGGCCCTGTGGCCGGAGATCGTATCGGGGCTCTGTTGGTCAGTGGACCGGTCTATTGATCGATTGCCACGTGGTTGTTTTCACTCTCCCGGTGACATCGCCCAGGACCACCAGCATCTCAGGGCTGGTCTTTCTGGTGTGACCCGCCCCGCCCTGAGGCACTGGCGGTGTGGTGAGCACCCTCTCCCCGAACAGAGAGCTCTTACTAGGCATGACACTGATCACCTTCCAGAAGCAAAGCAGGACCCCTGTGTAGGCCAGGCCAGCCCTCCCTCTGGGCCAGGTGAGCCTTCATCCCGCAGAGGCCCTGCTGGGGCGCCCAGCCAGGGGTGCCGCGTGAGGGAGGGGGCCGGCCCGCCTCGGGGCCCTCCTGGGCTGGTGTCCCTGAGAGAGACAGAAATCAGTGCCTCAACAAACAAGTGATGCAGTGGGCTGGTGGGACCAGAGAGCCGGGGAAGGACCAGCCTTCCCGGGGATGGCGGCGGGGGGACGCGGAGGGGTCCTCCAGAGAGTCAAGCGGGAGTGGAGCCTGGGAGAGAAGATAGAGCCAGCCCCGAAGAGGGGTGGGGGCCCCGGGCAGGGCTGGGGACTCAGGCAGAGGCCCTGGGGCAGAGCAGGCCAGCTCCCTTTGGCTGGGGCGGTCAGCAGGGCAGGGGTCCTCCGCCCGCATCTGCAGAAACACATTCCTCCCACCGGGGCCGCCCTCTCGTGCCTGACATCCGGCCTCCCAGCAAACTCCTGTGGGCTCTCAGATTTGCCTAGAATGTCATCCCCTGAAACCTCGCAGACGCCTCCGCTCACACCCTCTTCCCCTGGAGCCTCTTCTCCAGGCCCCAGGCTCCTCCATCCTGAACCCCCTGGCCCCGAGCCGAGCCCTGGCAGATGACAGAGAAGTGTTTGCAGGATGAAGGGAGGAAGCGAATCCGGGTGAACTGCAGCCCTGGGGCCCCCCAGGCCCCTAGAGGGGAGGCATGGCAGCCAGCTTTGCTCTGTCAGGGACCACCCGCACCCCTGCACGAGCCCCGCTGGGATCCACACCCTGCAGACCCCAGGAGCAAGTGCACACGCCCCCACACTCTGGGGGGGGGACGAGTGGTGTGTGACCCACAGAACTCCTGGCCTCATCCCAGCGACCCCTGGCCTCCCATGCACCCCCATGCAGGGCACCCAGGCCTCGCCAAGACTTTGAAAGTAGCTAAACAGGCTACGGGAGAGCCACTGGGCAGATGAGCCCTTGAAGACCCTGGTGACTCAAATGCCCTATAGCGGCAGCGGGTCTGCATCCAGATGGAGAAACGACAGCCTGGGGACCGCAGGGTGGCTGACACGCCTGCGGGAAATCAAGCGGGGTGTGTGGAGTCACTCTGGGATTCCCACAAAAGCTGGGACCCAGGCCTCTCGGACTCAAGGCCATGGGACACCCAGGATTCCTTCTGGGGGAAGCTCAGGGCTTGCTTTGCTGGTGGCAGCTCCAGGGCAAGAGGTTGAGCTGAACAGCCGGGTTGGGGGGGTGGTCCCTGAGTGGGGGGCAGGGAGGGACTGAGTGGAGCGGAGGCTGGAGAGTGAGTCAGGGCCCCAGGATGAGCTTGGGAGGCAGACTGCTCTGGAGGGGGGTCTCAGGGGCCCCCTGAGGGTCTCTGGCACCTGTGTGCGTCAGAAGGGGACCACTGCTCAGAGGAACTCTGGCCCCGAAGGATGGGACAGAGCTGTGCTGTTGGGGGCACTCTGCTGTTTGCTGGAAACGCTGGTTCTGCTCGCTGAGTTCTTTAGTGACACTCCCACCGTGGGAGCGAGGGGGTCCAGGCCTGCAGAGCCCCCCGCCCTCAGCCGTGAGGAGTGGCTGGGGCCCGAGCGGAAACCATCCCCAGACCCAGCAGATGTGGTGGTGCCCAGGGCTGGGAATTTGCGGTGGAGGGGCTGGTTCGGAGATGCACCCTCATGAACGTTGTCCTGGGAGACGGGACAGGTTGCGGGCTGGTGGAGGGACCCTCCTCCTCGTGTGGGCCCCTCAGGGAGGGTGGAACCCAGCAATTCAGCAGATGCTTGCCAAGCCCGTTCTGAAAGAAGTCAGTGGAGGGAAAGTCTCTCTTTACCTCTAGCGGTTGATCTCAGTGGGTTTGGAAGCCTCTGCTTTCCATGGGTCCACCACTTTATGATTCATTCATTCAGCACAGTTTCAGTGAGGGTCTGGCTATGCCAAGGCAGGTTCTCGGCCTGGGGCACCGAGGTGATGTCACGAGTCCTGGCCCGAAGCTGCTGCTGATCAGAGGATGGAGGCAGGACCTGTGGACTTACCTGCAGGTCTCGTCCAAGGGCCGTGGGGACCGTCCCACTATACCCGGCCTGGCATGAGGACCTGGCGAAAGGTGACTGTGGGCCAGGGCGGGAGGGCTCCATGGAGGGGACCGAGTGCCCAGGGTCCTCTGTGCCCTGCGCCTCCCCCGGCAAGGTCAGGGCGACCAGTGCCAGCCCCAGATGCTGGACGCACTGTTGAGCTGGCCTCAGGGCCTGCAGGGCCCAGCTCAGGCCTGGAGGCAGCAGGCACGTCTGCTCTCTGCCTGGAGCCCCGCCCTGGATGACCACGGGCCACTGGCCCAGCAGGAAGGAGTCCTTCTGGGTGCTGTAGGCTGGCAGGACAGGGCAGAAAGAAGGACCATTGTCTTGGGGTCTGGTCACGGCCCCAGAGTTGGCTTCCGGGGCTCGTCTCCACAGATGCTTCAGGAACATTGAGGGCAGAGGCTGGCAGCCTGGGACAGCTGTCCCTTGCGTCCGGCGACAGGATCCAGGCCCTGGTCATGCCCTGCATGTCCCTTGGTTCACCCTCCCCACCCCTGCCCCTCTTCTGTCTCGCCTGAGAAATGAGAATAAACCCTGGGCAGGCCAGGCAACAAATGGACAGGACAGTGGGTGGAAGGGGCAGTCGGTGTGCAGGGTAGTGAGTGGGCAGTGAATGGGCAGAGCAGCAGGTGGACAGGGCAGTCAGTGGGCAGAGCAACAGGTGGACATGGTGGTGGGTGGGCAGGGCAGTCAGTGGACAGGGCAGTGAGTGGGCAGTGAGTGGGCAGAGCAGCAGGTGGACTGGGTGGTGGGCAGGCAGGGCAGTCAGTGGGCAGAGCGGTCAGTGGGTAGGGTAGCAGGTGGACAGGGTGGGCACAGATGACTTTCCCGGGCAATCGGGCCCCATGGAGACAGCTCTCCCAGCCAGCTGACCGCCCCTGGCCTGCGTAGCGGGAGAGAGCCGTGTTTTTCTGTAGTGTGCGTTGAGTGGGAGCCAGCTAATGAGCATGAACCTGCCGGACCTGGTCGGCTCTGGGTCAGCCTGGCAGGGTCGGCTGGGCAGCCGTCAGCCCCAGGGATACCACAGAGGTGGCGTCACTTTCTCTGAGTCTGGCCTCCGGGCGGAGGTGGCTCCGCTGTAACCTGGCAACCCAGATGAGAGCTAAGTTGCCCATCTGGAGGGGTGCTCAGCAGTCAGCTAACTAGGCATGCCAGGCCCAGTGCACTCCAGGACCCCCCTCCGGCTCCAGAGGCCAGCTCGGGGCTCCCTGTGAGCGCTCCGGGATAGGGAAAGCAGCCCTTTCACTCCTGGAAGATCCCTGACTGTGTGCCCCCCCGGGGAGGGGTGCCCCCCCAGGACAAGGATGCGCGTCCACTGAAGGTGCCCGGGGGGAGACCCGTTGGAAGGCTGTGGTCCTAATGGCCCGTCTCCAGTGTCTCATTGGGTGTGAGATCAAACCGTCATTCAACACACGTTCGCCACGCACCTGCTGTGCCTTCTATCCTGGGCACCAGGAATGCAGAGGTGAACGAAGCCGGCGGGTCCCTGGCCCTACAGCATCTGGCAGCGGGGAGACGGATAGGCTGGCTCCAGGGTGCAGGATGCTTGCCTGTGAGCGGGGAGGGGCGGGGCCAGCTGATGGGCCTGGAGGGCGGGACTGGGGGAGACACCGGCTTCCTGGAGCCAGGACTTGGCAGGTGTGCGGAAGGGTGCGTAACAGGGGCCGGCCCTGCTCTGGGGGTGGGGCTCCAGTCTGAGGAGCCTTGAACAGGTGGGGATTGAAGGAGGCTTTCAGAGCCGTGGGAAGAGGCGGCCCTGTGTCTGCTGAGTATCTGGAGAGGCCTCGGTGCATGGAGAAGGTGGCCGGGGCAGGGCCAGCCTGGTGGCTCCTGCTCCGGTGGGACCAGAGGGAGCCTGGACGGGAGGGCTGGTCCCCTCCAGGCTGCGGCTGTCCATGGTCACGCCTACCCTGGGGGCGCACGCAGGTCCTGGGGGCGGGCGGGAACCCAGAGGAGGAAGCCAGAGCCCCTGCACTGACCGTGGGGCCTCCGAGCAGAGAGAAGCCAGCCTTGATGAGGCTGCCCCGGAGGCCTGAACACAAGGACGGGGAGACTGACCCTGGGCGAGGATGTTCCAGCTGAATTCGCAGCCGCTGCCGGGGTGGGAGAGCCTGAGCTGCCATCAGAGCCCCTGTGACCCTGGGCAAACCACCAGCCTTCTCGGAGCCTCAGCCGCTCGGCTTTAACGTGGAGACGAGCTGGCGCTGACCTCTCTCTGTATGTCCACGGAGCCTGTATGAGACCTTAATGAGAGCCAGGCGCCCCCCGACCCTGTTGTGGGACAGTGCTTCCTGGGGCCTGGCTGGGTGGACGGGGCTGGACGACTGCCCGGCCTTGGGCGGGTGTGAACAGCACCCCGGAGAACGCAGCTGGGTGCTGGGTTTGACTGTGAGGCTCCTTTGGGCCAGTTGGAGGCAGGGTAGAGAGGAGGTGAGAGAAAGCCCAGGTCTCCTGATTCTGGGGGGGAACTGCCTGGACTCAGCCCCCTTCTGTCTGGGTTCCCGGACCCAGGGGACATTGCGGTGGGGTTGGGGGGGCGTGCTGCTCTTCTCCCCGCCCCCCATTTCTCCTGGGCTGGGAACTGGGTCATGGCGGGAACACCGTGTAGCTACCCAGCTGCTTGGGACCCTAAAACGTGCAGGAGAAAGCCGGACCCCCCTGCTGCCATGCCAACAGCCCGGGCCCCCTTCCGCCGGGGTCATGGTGTCAGTAACCCCGGTGCCACCCCGACAACGCCAGGAAACGTCCCTCGGGGCTTGGGGTCCGTTCTTGTGGCTCTGCCGTTGCTCTCAGCTTTGGGGCACTTTCTTCTGAAACACCCAGCGTTAGTCGGCTTTGTGAAGAAGGGACTTCCTGTCATGAGCCGGAATCAGCTGAACTGAGATAAAAGCAAGGGTGATTCACCAGAGCCAAGCCCTTAGCAGGCTGTGCCTCTGAGTCCTCAGCAACGGAAAGAGCCTTCCAGACAGGTTTTTCCATTTCACAGAGGAGGAAGCTGAGAGTCTAAGGTTTTTTTCAGCTGTGCCAAACATACGCACACAGCATTTTTGCCTAGCCAAACAGGCAGCCTGGCCACCAGAACAGCGGTAGAACACATACCCTGTGTTTCCCGCCTCCCACGATGCGTCTCCCTTGAAACAGCAGCTCGTAATGTGTGTCTTCCTGGGGGTGGCCAAGCCTCAGGGGTCAGGCTGAGCTTCTCGAGGGACCCCAGCCCCTTGCCAGCCTTCGCGAGCCTGTGGTCTGAGGGGACAGGCAGACCCCTGAGTCGATGCCCAATCCCGTGTGTGCAGCCGGGCCGTGGGGCCTCAGAGAGGAGGCCAGGGTGATACCCGGGGAAAGGAGGCGGGCTGGACCGGCTGACGAGTGACCGAGCGCGGCGGTGACGACGGAGCTTCATGCCCTGTCCTTCTCTTTCCTTTCTAGATGCAGAACCAGGTTTCCCATCAGGTTTACCCAGGCGCCACCCCCTATGCCTTTCAGGTTTGTCCCTGCCGCCACCGTGTCGGGCTCACGTTTGGTCCTGGTCTCGTCCCATCCCCGCTGGTGTCGTGCTGAGTGTAGGAGGAACTGTGGGTCATCTCCCTGGAGGGGAGGAGGGGGAGCTCCACAACAGGCGTTTTTGTTGTTGTTCAGTCATGTCCGACTCTGACCCCGTGGACTGCAGCACGCCAGGCTTCCCTGTCTTTCCCCTAGTACCCGGAGCTTGCTCAAACTCATGTCCATTGAGTCGGTGATGCCGCCCAACCATGCCATCCTCTGTCGTCCCCTTCTCCTGCCTTCAGTCTTTCCCAGCATCAGGGTCTTTTCTAATGAGTCAGTTCTTCGCATCAGGTGGCCAAAGTATTGGAATTTCAGCTTCAGCATCAGTCCTTCCAGTGAATATTCAGGACTGATTTCCTTTAGGATGGACTTGCTGTCCAAGGGACTCTCGAGTCTTCTCCAGGTGTTAGCCACACCAAACGTGCTTAAGCAACGGAAGTCTCTCTCAGCTCTGGAGGCTGGAGCTCCAGGGTCCGCCGGCGGACTTGGCTCCCCATGAGGCTTCTCCTCTGGGCGTGTGCACGGCCGTCTCCTCCCTGTGTCCTCACAAGTCATCTGTCTGCGCCTGTCTGTGTCCTAGTCTCTTCTCATAAGGAAGACAGTCAGATCCAGGCCTGTCCTGAAGGCCCCATTTAAGCTTGATTACCTCTTCAAACATCCTACCTCCTAACACCTTCTGGGGTCCTGGGGTGTGGGCTTCAGCCTGTGAGCTTTGGAGGGGAGCGGCTCAGTTCCTGATACAGCCCCTCCCAGGCTCCTGGCGGGAGGTGTGGACCGCGGGGAGCGGCTGGACAGGATTTCAGGGGTTGGGGGGAGGGGCCTGCTCAGAAAACGAGAGAGGTCCCATGGTTGGGACTCCTCACTCGCACTGCAGAGGCACGCAAACCCTGTGGTCTGGCCAAATTAGAAAAACGGCGGGAGAAGCCGTGAGCCGGGGGGCGGGGAAAGCAGGAGCCCCTTCGTGGAGATGGGCTTCATTCGGATGAGGCGAGTGAGAGGCCTGGAAAGTTGGGTGGGTGGCTGGTCCCAGCCAGGGAGAGGGCGGGACCAGGAGAGGGCCCAGGAGCTGCCAGGTCACACCCGGCAGGCGGGGATGGAGACAGGTGCAGAGAGCCGGGCGGGAGCTCGAGAGAACCAGGGTCCTCACGGTGATGGAGGACCTGATCCAGCGGAGCAAAGGAGACAGACAGTTGGGGGTCTGTCACCTCGGGGGTGCAGACGTCATGGTCAGAGATGAGCGAGGAGGGCTGGGGAGTGGTTCCCAGCTGCAGTGGGCACGCGAGGAGCAGGTCCCAGACGGGAGGCCATCCTATTGGACCACAGAGGCGGGGCTGGAGGCGCAGCAGCCGTCCCCCAGAATTGATGTGGAGAATCTGCTCTCCGAGTGGCTCGATCCTGCCTTTGCCACTGGGGCGCGCAGAATCCCTGAAAACACATCGCTTGCTCTCACCCTCCAAATAAAAGATCATTTCAGTGACCTGAGAGCTTCGTGGTCGCGGAGCGAGTCCATCCGGCCCTGGGAGCACACGGCCCCTTTGCTGGCAGCCAGGGTCACCCGTGTGTCTCCCGGTGATAGCTTCCTTGTCGTTCATCCAAGCCTATGTGTTTCTCTTTAAAGCTGCCCATAGAAAGGGTCTCGTGAGCTCCAGCATTTCTGCTGGCACTCGACTTTCGATAGTTGCCTCCGGAAGGTTCTCTGCGTCGACAGAGTGTGCTTCAGCCTCGCCCTGTTTCCTCGTCTCCTAGGAAACCAGGACGTCCTCAGAGAGCATCATTTCGGTACCTGCTTCCAGCACCTCAGGGTCTCCGAGTCGCGTGATTTATGTAAGTCGGATTCCCTCTATGGAGAGGGGAGACCAGGGGCCCGGGGTCCTTGCTGAGTGTGCCCTCTGGGGGCGCAGGGTCGCGGGAGAGATTGGCACAGACCCTGAGGCTGACTTGGAGCCTCCAGCGTGGATGTGTTGTGTGACCACGGCTGCCCCGGAATGTGGCATCCGGTGCACAGAGAGATGTACTCATGGCCATGGTTTACGGCGGTGTTGGTGAGAATATGCCTGCATCCCGCAGCCGGAACTCACCTGGATAAACCGCACTCACCAGTAACAGTGCAAATCTGTGCCTGTTGGTGTGGGAAGTTCCTGATGTGCATGTGAAGGATGACGTGTGTTAGTTACGTGATCCCATTTTCATTTATGTGTATGTGTATTCGTGTGCACGTAGGTATACATGTGTGTATTGTGTGTATTTGAGTGTGTGCATGTATGTAGGCATGTGTGTATGCATATGTATGGATGGATGTGTGTGTGCATGTATCTACATGTGTGCATGTGTGCGTGCAGGTATGTATATTGTGTATGGAGTTGTGTGTGTGTGCACATACATGTTTCAACATGATTGAGAACATTTTAACTAATTGTTGATAGCAGTTACCTCTGGGTGTGGCTTTAGAAATGGAAGGTGACTGTTACAATTACTTGCTAGTTTGCTGGTCTAGCTAGTCCCCTGTGCTGTGGGGGGGAACGGGCAAGCGGGGTGAGCCCTGGACTGGGCGTCTCGGCCCTGTGCTGTGGGGGGGAACGGGCAAGCGGGGTGAGCCCTGGACTGGGCGTCTCGGCCCAGCTTCACCCCTGCAGGCTGGTTGGCCAGGACGAGTCTCCTCTCCCGTTCCCCCCAGCTCACGGCTGGAGCCTGGTTTTTCTCTGACATGATGGAGGTCGGAGTCCCTCCTCTCGACACCTCTCCCATCCAAGTACTAACCAGGCCCGACCCTGCTTAGCTTCCGAGATCAGACGAAATCGACACTTCTTTTTAGCCCCCAGAACTCTCTCTGGTTGGACACAGGGCCATTCCTGCCCTAATTCTGATGGATGATAAGAACCCGGGTTCTAGTCTGTAGGGCGAATGGCCGGATGACCCTCTTAGCTGCAGACTTGGAGGTTCAGAAAGACAGCCTGACGTCACCAGGCCAGCTGTGTGCCCTCGGGCAAGGCGTTAGCCTCTCTGAACCTCTGGGAGCTCACCCATACCTGGGGGCCCACAGCATCTGCTGCCCAGGGCCACGGAGGTCCTGAGTGAGAGGCCCCGGGCACAGCCCTGAGCCCAGAGTGGGGGCCCAGGAAGTGCTCACTGGAGTCACTGTTGTGACATCAGTGATCGTCTTTGGGGGCCGCCGTACCAAGTGCCCTGACCAGGGACCTCAACCACAGAGACGTACCTTCCCACCGTCCTGGAGCCTGGGAGTCTGAGTCACGGTGTCGGGAGGGTCGGTTCCCTGCAAGGCCCGTCTCCTGGGCGTGTGGATGGCCGTCTTCTCCGCGTGTCCTCAAGCTGGTTGTCCCTCTGTGCACATCTGTGTCCTGACCTCCTCGTCACAGGAGGACCCCCGGATGCTGGCTCAGGGCCCCCCACCCTGCTGACCTCGGTTCACCTTAGTCATCCCTTTAAAGGTCACTATCACCAAATACAGATTCTGTAGTGCTGGGGGTTAGCAATTCAATGAAAAAAGGAGGGGGACACGATCCACCCCAAATGGCATCATCATCAGGACCGGTAATAGTGACTGTTACTGTTTGAATGAGAGCGTGTCTGTGGCACAGAGTGTGGTCCTGTCCACAGATGGCAGCTGCTGTTGGTAACTGCTCCTTGCTGTCTTCAGTCACTCAGTTGTATCCGACTCTTTGTGACCCCATGAACTGCAGCACTCCAGGCCTCCCTGTCCATCACCATCTCCAGGAGCTTGCTCAAAGTCATGTCCATTGAGTCGGTGATGCCATCCAACCAGCTCATCCTCTGTCACCCCCTTCTCCTCCTGCCTTCAGTCTTTCCCAGCATCAGAGTCTTTTCCAGTGACTCAGTTCTTTGCATCAGGTGGCCAAAGCATTGGAGCTTCAGCATCAGTCCTTCTAATGAATATTCAGGACTGATTTCCTTTAGGATGGACTGGTTAGCCATGATTATGTTTTGAACAAGTTGGTGTTTGTAAGGGGTTCAAGTACAGTGCTGACCATACAGCAGTGCAGTCAGCAAGGACGTTGGTCTCCGAAGTCCCTGTTACTTTATAAAGATCTCGCAGTGGTAAGCAGTAGAGCTGGCTTTGAGACCAGGTCTTCTGACCCCAAAGCTTGGGTTCTGCTCAGGGAAGCCAGTTGCTCAGGGCTGAAAGCCAGCCCTGCTGGGTCCCTCCTTCACTAGGCTGTTTTCAGCACAGCCACGGCCACGTCCCCCAGGCCAGGTCCCCTGATGTCCCCACCCTTGGGGAACAGGAGTTTGCCGAGGGTGATGGTGATGGGCCAAGAAGGTCCCCACCAGCTGGGTGTGCCTTCAGCCGAAGTGGATTCTGCCTGGGCACACCGTCCCAGCTGATACAGGCTTCTTGCTTGGCTAATACCCCTGCACCAGTTTTAAACAGACGGCCTAGAGAGGATTCATTGACCCCCCCCCCACCACCAGACTCCTGAGTCTGAAACACCTGCTCTCAGCTGACACAGCTGAGATGCCTTGAGGACTGGGTACCAAGGCCCACATCTACTGCCTTCTCTAGCTCTCAGCATCCCACTTCTCAGATGCAGCTCAGAGAGGGGCAGAAGCTGGTCTGTATCCCAGCCTCTGAGTCAGGGAGCCGCCATCCAAGGACACACGGCTGCTTCCAGCACGTGGACTCGCAGCACCGTGGCCGGCGCCCAGCCTGGACCCCCACCCCCACCCCCGCTGCTGTCCCTCCCAGTCAGGGCTGGTGTCGGCTCTGGTCAGCAGTGCGTCCCTGCGGTTCCTTCACCAAGGAGACAGGAGTCCGGTCAGGCACGCCTTCTCAGGCTCACTCCTGTTGTCTTCCTGCTCCCGCTGGTATCTGCTATCATCCTCCTGTGCGCCTGACTTGGCTCAGTGCTGGGCACGCTCAGGACCTCAGGACCGGGGCCTCAATCCATGCGCCAGGTCAGTGAGCTTTAAAGGATGCTGACCACCCCATCCGGCAGCACCTGCTGTAGTGTGGCTGTCATCAAACGCAGCCTCCCCGCCCTCCTCCTTCCCCCATTCAGGAAGAGATTGCTGCCCCCGTGAGGCCCCCGTGTGCAGGAATGGGGCAGAATTCATCGTGTGCTGTGGCTAACCTCTTCCCCTTGGGCTGTGAGTGCCTGGCGGTCAGGGGTCGTGCCTCATTCATCTTAGCATATATACAGGATAAAACATGGGCACAGTGTGTGGGTTAGTCGCTCAGTCGTGTCCGACTCTTTGTGACCCCATAGACTGTAGCCCACCAGGCTCCTGTGTCCATGAGATTCTCCAGGCCAGAATACTGGAGTGGATTGCCATTCCCTTCTCCAGGGGATCTTCCCAACCCAGGGATTGAACCCAGGTCACCTGCATTGCAGGCAGATTCTTTACCATCTGAACCACCAGGGAAGCTCAATAAATTGCGGGTTTTTAAAAAGTAATCTTTTCACTGCCTTTTCCTTATTACAAAGGTAACCCACATTTATTAGGAAAAAATAGTGATTGGTATAGAGACAAAAATGAATACCATTTATAATCCTCCCAGCCAGAGTAGCCCACTGTTAATATATTGAAGTACACCCTTTCGGTCTCTTTTTCTCCGTGTGCATGTATTTTCTTTCTTTTTTACAAAATGAAGTCACATGGGCTATATTGTTTTGTAAGCTTTCTTCACCATGGCAATAAAGCAGTGAGTTGGCATAGTATATCATTAGATAGTTTTATCGGTAGGATTATATTACAGCTATAACATCATATATGGTCACATCCCATATGGCTTCCCACATGGTGTTAGTGGTAAAGAATCCATCTGCCAATTCAGGAGACGTAAGAGATGTGGGTTCAATCTCTGGATCAGGAAGATCCCCCTTGGAGGAGAGCATGGCAACCCAGTCCAGTATTCTCGCCTGGAGAATCCCATGGACAGAGGAGCCTGGTGGGCTACAGTCCACGGGGTCGCAGAGAGTTGGACACGACTCAGCACACACACATGCTGGATACAGTGTAGGGAGAAGAAAGCTGAGCGGAAACACTCGCAGACGCACACACCCCAGTGGCCTTCCGCCAATGGGAGGGCATAGCCCGCTGTCACAGCGACCCCCCAGGACCTGGGTGCCAGGAAGTGGATCTGTGAGCCCTGCTGGGTGGTGTGGATGTGAGGAGCCAGGAGCATGGCCCCGTAGCCACCTGGCTGGGGGTTGGGGGGTTGGGGGCCTCTGTCTGAGCTGGCTCATGTTGATGTAGTTGGCGTTGACAGGCTTTCTCTCTGATCCTGCCGTCAGAGGCTGACCCAGAGCAAGGTGGGCCTTACTGACCGCACGTTTGGGGCAGAACAAGCCAGCGGGCAGCTGATTGCTGTGATCATAGCAGGGCAGAAGGGGCAGGGTGGGTGGGCACAGCCTCCCCCAGCCCCATGGCAGCATGGCCCTTTAGGTCAGGCCACGTGGATGTTCAGAAATCCAGCAGATGGCGAGGCCCAGGTGGCATTCCCATTTTCAGGGGGAGACCAAGGCCCAGAGAATCCGCCTGGCTTTGGCGAATGCACGATCGATTTTAGTTCAGTGCGACTTTCTTGCCCTGAGGACCGTGTCATGTCCATCGTGGAGTTAGGGGGAGGTCCTCCATCGTTAAGCAGAGTCCTGGACCCACAGCCACTAGCCTTGCGGGGAGAGGACATTGATGCACTAACAAAGATCAGCACCTTTACTCAAAAGAGGAAAACATCCAACCCAGATGGCAGAGAGAAAGCAGGAAAGGCTTCCTGGAGGAGGAGGCCTCTGCTGACTCTGGAAGGACCAGAGGATGAGCCGGGCAAAGAGGTCTGGGGAGGGCATCTTGGAGAGTGGAATCTACATGGGCTGAGCCCTCAGACTCTGGACATGGGGAAACGGTAAGCAGTTGGGTGTGGCTAGTTTCCTGGGCTGGGGGTGAGGGGCTCTGATGAGCAGATACACATGGGCTAGACCTCCAGGGGCCTGAGTTCCAATTTCCCCAGAACACAGAAAGGAGTAGTTCAAAAGTGCTGATCAGGGGTCATCATCACGACAAATGGCACACTCAGGGTTTGAACTCAGGTCTTCCGAGTGCTGCCCAGGGTTCCGAAGGGACTTGCCAGAGACTGAGACATCAGGTGTTCACTCTCTCAGCCTACGTCATAAACGGCACGTGGTACCCAATGCCTCCTAGGAGCCTAGGAGTTGGGTGGTCAGGGAAGGCTTCCTGGAGGAGGTGGGCTAGAGCTGCCAGACCTCGGAGAAAGCGGGAAAGCTGGAGCGTGGGGGCTGAGCCTGGCTCACCGAGGGCACGAAGAGGAGAGACCGTACAGCGAACAGACTGCAGACATCCGGCTCCAAACATCAAGTCTGGAGACCATAGTGAGGGCTGTGTAACCTGTCCGTGGAGGGGGCTGCCAGAGGATGTGAGCTGGAGGGTGAAGGGGGGGCAGCTGGAGCTCGAGAGACGTGGCCCTGGCGGAGAGGAGAGCCGGCTCTGCATGCAGACAACCTGCTTCTGATCCCCGGCTGTGGGACTCCGGGCTCTGCTGCCTCCCTGTGAAGTGGAGGTCCTGTGTGGGCCCCGCTTCGTGGGCTTGGCCCACTGCCGTCTGGGGTGGAGCGCAGAGCTCACAGTGCTGTTGGAGTTTGTTGGAAGAATTGCTGGCAGGACGCCCCTCCCTGCTCACCCCCCCGATACCCAGAGGCAGAGGTAAGATATGAGCTTGGGCCGTGAGGACCTTGACCAGAGCTGCCTGGGGCTGGGAGGGGTTGCAGAGAGGCAGGCAGGGGCTGTGTTGGCTGGACCGGGGGTCCCCCAGGGAGGCTGAGGTCGAGATGAAGGTTCTCGAGAGGTTTGGGGGGTCAAGCTGAGCTAATGGGGGCAGCCCAACTGGCCAGCTCTGCCCACGACTGGCAAGGCCAGGCTGAGACTAACCCTCAGAGGGGACACGGGGGAAAGGAGGTGACCAGAGTGTCTGCTCCAGGAGGGACAGCAGCCTGGGCGTCCACTCCGCTGGGAACCAGGCAGTGCTGGGAGCGGGCTGGGGCCGCACGTCCCTTCTTCGGTGGGGATCGCAAGCTGTAAACGTTCCATCCGCACTTGGGGGGTGTGTCACAGGAACACCGGGGCTGAGACCGGGGTTTGAGCGTGGATCTCAGCCCTACTGTGAGAGCCAAGTCTTGTGGTGCTCAGCTCCCGCGCCTGTCTGGTCACGCGCCCCAAGGCGGCCCCCAGAGCCGGGAGGAGGGGCTGGCGGGCAGTACGGGGAGGCTGAGCCCAGTTACAAGACAGCAGGCCGCCAGGTGGACCTCACCTGAGCAGATGCGGTGTTTGCAGTGCTCACTCATCACCACGAGTGAGCGCCTCTGTGATGACCTCCTGAGGTCACACGCCAGCTGCCTGTCCCCTGGCTCATGTCAGGCCGTTGGCTGTGTGTAGGGAGTGCTCCAAAGCCCTGGGCGTGTGTACGAGTGGCTGCGTGTGGAGGTGTGTTCACGAGTGCTGGTTTGGGTGGGTGCGAGCGTGTGTGTGAGTGTGTGGGTGCCTCCAGGTTGTGCTGGTGAGTGTGAGTGGATGGAGTTGTGGGTGTGTCAGGGTCTCCCTCCACAGCCTTAGGCAGGCACATTCCCTGTGTGCACACGTGTGTTATGTGTGCAGGCCTGCATGTGTGTGCTGGGTGTTTGCATCTGTACATACATGTGTGCACACATCGAGCAGGTATTTAAATGCATGTGTGTATGTCCTTTATGGATGTGTGCATTTTGTGTGAGCACATGTGTATTTGTGTTTGGATGCATGCAAGTCTATTATGTGCAGGTGTTTGTGAGTATGCGTCCTTGTGTGTGTTTGTATGCATGTGTACATGTTCGCTGGTAGCTCAGCTGGTAAAGAATCCACCTGCAATACAGGAGACCCTGGTTCGATTCCTGAGTCGGGAAGATCCCCTGGAGAAGGGAAAGGCTACCCACTCCAGTACTCTGGCCTGGAGAATCCCATGGACTGTATAGTCCATGGGGTTGCAAAGAGCTGGACATGACTGAGTGATATGTTTTCTGTGCCTACATGTACATTATGTGTGTATGTGTATATCTGTGTTTGTTTGCATCCAAGTGTGTGTTTGTATGCATGCATGTGTGTGTGTGTATGTGTGTTTTCTGTGCCCTCACATGAGTATTTGTTTGTGCATATGTGTGTCTGTGTGTATGCAAGCATAGCTGAGTGAGTGTATTTAGACTGCAGGTGGAGTTCTCACTGTCTGTAGGAGCAGGAGGCTTCCCCACCCCCCTGTCTTTGCCCCTCCGCTCGTTTCACTCAGACTCCCCTCCTCCGACGCCTGCCGGGCAACGCGGCCCCCGGGTGTGGGTCTGACCAGCCCTCGTGGCCCCTTCCGTCCCTCTCTCAGGCCAAGCTGGGCGATGAGATCCTGGACTACAGAGACCTGGCCGCTCTCCCTAAGAGCAAGGCCATCTACAACATCGACCGCCCTGACATGATCTCCTACTCGCCCTACATCAGCCACTCGGTGGGGGACCGGCAGAGCTACAGCGAGGTACGGGGCCCGCGCAGCGGGTCGCCTTGGCGGCCTCAGCCTCCCTTACCCCCTCAGACAACCCGCGCCTCCTCTTCAGAGAGCCCCAGAGTGCTCTGGCCCCAAACCGCCTCACGAATCTGGACGGGGAGCCCCCTTGGAGTGGGGGGCGGGGAGCAGGAAGCTCGAGGGTGATCAGGAAAGCGACAGGGGCAAAGCAAGCGTCTCTTCCTTGTCCTCAGCTGGGCTGATGCTCATCCCCGGGGAATGGACCGTGTTCCTTTGTTCAGCCCGCTCCTGGCCCTGCTCTCTGCTCACGTGCTTCCCCGCCCTGTGAGCCCCTCGAGCTGGTCTGACCCCTGGTTGGACTGCAGATGACGCCTCCCTTCTGTCCCTCGGGTGATGGCCTTCTCGGGGCCTCCCTGCTCACGGCGGCACCTCTCCATTTAACCTGGAACTTGCTGGGTTTGGCTTTTCCTTTTTGAGACTCGGGTGTGACCCTGGGGGCGGGGCTGGAGGGGAGGAGTGTTTTGTCAGTTGCTGGCCGTGTCCATGGGCCAGTCGCATGTGGTGGCCTGGCCCGGGCGGCCCCTTGGGGGGCAGAGCTCTGCCCCGGCCGTAACTGAGTCCCCCGAGGTGTGGCCGAGGCTCTGGGGTCTCCATGTTCGATGGGGGTCATGCGGGCGAGCTCAGCTTGGCAGGCACTGCTGCGGGATACAAGGGCGGGGCGGGGTCCTCCCGAGGGTACACTCACCGGTCACGTCGCAGCGACTAGCCAGGGCCACCCCTGCCGTGGTCACTGCGGTCACAGTCACCACGCACGCTCAGACCCGCTCTCACTCTGCCCTGACACCGGGCTTGGCACTCCCCGCCTCCCATGGCCCAGCGCTCTGGGAGTGCCCCCCACCCCCGCGCAGGACGAGGATGAAGCGAGGAGACTGGGGGGGACGTGCTGGCCCCAGGACCATGGGGCTCACAGGGCAAAGCTGGGGCATGGGCCTGGGTGGCCGACCCTGGTCACTGCTGCCTCCGTGCCGGCTTCTACCATGGCGCAGAGCGAGGTGTTGGGTCACCTCCCTTCTCCGTCTCTGGGGACCTCGAGGGCTCGCATCTCTGCAGGCCCCACCGTGCCCCAGCCGGGGGCCTGCTCGGAAGGGGGCTCCGAAGGGCCCTTTCTGTGAGTTGATGATGAAGGGGGGCCCGGGAAGCCCCAGAACGGGGATTGGGGCATTGAGCTGGGCAGACATGGCCTAGAGCTGGACAGCTTCGCCCGCTGCTCTAGACCTGCAGCCTTACAGCCGCTCATCCCAGGGCGGAAAGCTCACAGGGGGAAGAGGAGTGGGCCAGAAGCACAGAGCTCTGCCAGCCTCTCTGAGCCTCAGTGTCCCTGTCTGTGAAGTGGGCAGATTGGGGTACAAGTTCCCCCTTCCCACTCTAAGGGCGGGGATGGTACAAGAGCGAGCCCCCAGCTGCTCGGGGCTCCTCCTCGGAAACTCTCCGCAGCATCTTCCTACCTGTTCAGGTGGGGGGACAGGTGAGCTTTCCTGCCTGGAAGCTCAGTTTCCAGAGCCCCTGCTACTTGCTGCTTCCCTGAGCCCATATACAGATGGTGGATGACCCAAATACAGACCCATATACAGATGGTGGATGACCCAAATACAGACCCATATACACATGGGGGACGGTGTACTTGTTCTAACAGGAGATGCCAGGCTGGTGACCACTCCCCGGGGCCCCAGTGGCCCCCAGCCCCTCACTGTGGTCCTCACCCCAAGCCCTGAGGCTCCGAATCATCCTTCCTTTCTCCGGGCCCCTTTATCTTTTCTGAAGAAGACCTGTGGGCTCACGGGGTGGTGACTCCTAATGCCCTAAACCAACAGTCCTCCTACTGTAACGTGTCTTCGCGGGAGGGTGGCGGGGCAGGGCGGGACAGCCAGGAGGAGGCAGGTCCATGCTGATCCGCACAGAGCTCCGTCCTGGGGGCCTCTTTCTCCGGGGGGCATTGACTGCATGTCTCCAAAGAGAAGGCTTTGGAACCCGTGTGCGGCCTCATGGGGAGGAGTCCCTTCCCGTCGGGAGGAGGGTCCCTGGGGTGGAGGTACCTGGGCCAGGGTCTGGGCCCCTCCCCGTGTGACCCCCTGCTGCCAGGCCTAACGGGGTCCCCTGTGTTATGTTCACAGTCCCCCCAGCTGCTCTCGCCAACGCCGCCCGAGGTAACTGCCCCCCAGCCCGCCCATCTGCTCATCGCTCTGCTACCTAGATTATAAAGATAACCGACCAAGGCTTCCCCAGGAGGGCTCTCCAGGCCCTTGGCCGTGGCCTCTGGCCCTGGCGTCAGGCCGTGGCCCTCTGAGGCTGGGGTGCCCTCCTCGGCGCTGGTTATTTTTATAATGGTGTCTCATCCGCATGCTTCCCCATGCGTCTGCCAGCCCTGCGATGCGGACATCTGGGACACAGGCGTCCTGCGGTCTGGTCCACGGCTTCCTTTAGAGAGAAAAAAAGTCCAGGGGCTGGGGTAGCTGGGGCCACCTCATCTGCCTCTGAGCAGGATTATGGGAATATACTTGGGGGCCTTGAGGGTGAACGTGCTGAAAGCATTTCTGTATCAAACAGCATTTATAGGATGTGAGAGCGATCTGGTTGCAACATCTGTCACCCCATTGATCGCCAGGGTTGATTTGACTGATCTGGCTGGCTAGGCAGGTGTCCCCTTCCTCCCTCACCGCTCCATGTGCATCCCTCCTGAAGCTGCATGCTCGGTTGAAGGGGACGACCATCCCCGATAGAGGAGGACTGGTCTTCGGTCAAGGGTATACAAGTAGCTGCACTCCCCTGCTAGAACCTCCAAAAACAAGCTCTCAAATGGCGTTTATAATTAGCAACCCACCCTGTATGTCTGTTTCTCAAAATGAATCTTTGACATAGATGGCTGCCAATCAGACTCCATAGGTATGAGATCCTGGGCTCAGGAAGGTGACAAATGCCTGTGCGTGGGCAGCTGGCACCAAGGGGCCATGCCCACGTGTGGTTGTGAGCCCCAGGGACAGGACAGATGAGGAGACAAGACACCTGTAAAATAGAAGCTGGTCAGTGGGGCTGTGCAGAGAATGCCCGGGGATGGAGACGAGATGGCTGGACTGTGGCAGCCCCAGAGGAGACAGTGTCCATCACTGGGGGGTAGTGGGCCAGGCCAGGAGGTCAGTGTTACACACGGCGGGGAGCGAGGTGGGGGGGGCGCCTGACAAGTGAGCTCCCAGTTTGAGGGCGGGCTGAGCAGAGCGTGGAGATGGGCACGCAGGCAAGATTTAGGGACAGTGGCTCGGGCGGGTTTGGCTGAAGAGGAGCCCTGGGCGGCGGTGGGTAAGCTGGGAAGGGCATGGGAGCCGTGAGTGCCAGACCCAGACCCTCCCAGTGCTCATCCCCATGCCGGCCTGGCGGGCAGAGCAGTGGGCTCCACCCACGGCAGGAGGCTGGGCCGCGTCGTGACTCCGGCCAGGGTGCCGAGTCGCAGCGGGCCGGCGGTCTGCTCTGCCCCCCTGCCTGCGGTGCCACGCCATCTCACACCACCCGCTCTGAGCACTCGAGAGTGTGGCCCGTCCTGCTTGAGTGGAGTCTGTGTTGTCGATGACTCAGCTGAGTCATCTGGGCCCTGGGGTTCGGGGGCTTCTCACCTCCCACACCTGGGGAGCCCCTGTTGAGGCTGGTTACAGAATCTCTGTGGGTCTCAAAGTGTCTCCAAGGACCCTTGGGGGCCAAGGATTGGGCAAGAGGGGGACTGAGGGGAGTGGGGGGAGCCAGGTGCCTTTACCCACCCTTGGAGCCCAGCCACAAGGAGGTGCTGTGGGAGGGATGGATACCATCCCGCCCTCCAGGTGCTAAAGGATGCTCAGGCCGAAGGGAGTGTCAGCACCAAGGCCAGCTCCCTGCCTGGCTCTTCAGAAGTGTCCTGGCAGTTGTGGGGACTCCATCCTGGGGCCACGTTGAGTCAGCCTCCGGGGTCAGGCGCGTGGAGGGCGGAAGGGTGGGACGGGGTGGGTGGTGGTCGCGGCTCAGCGTTCACCAGGCTGTCTTCCTCCCAGGGGGAGCAGGACGACCGCTCCTACAAGCAATGCCGGACCTCCAGCCCCAGCTCCACCGGGTCGGTCAGCCTCGGCCGATACACCCCGACCTCGCGGTCACCCCAGCACTATAGCCGTCCAGGTACTTGTCCCCACCCCTCACAGCTTCTTTTACCCCCCCGAGCCTGTGCTTCTTGTTGCTTTTCCTCTGAGGCGTCTGTCTCTTACCCTGCGCAGCTGGAGGAAGGACGGACGGGGAGATGGAGAGCTGTGCTTTTAGTGACAGAAGCAAAAGGCCCTCTGCGGTCTGGGTTGGGAGGTGAAGTGCAGAGGCGGCGGGTTAGCCCATCGGTTAGAGGGGCCATCCTGGGAAACACCCGAGGCAGTGCTGAGCACGTAGAACCCAGCTCACGTGTTGGTGTCGGGAAGGTAAAACCACAGCCAGCGCAGGAGTCACCAAGTTCTGAGCTCACGGAGTCCTAGGGAGGTCTGCGCTATGAACCCAAAATCAACGGGCAGAAACTGGCCTCAGCATACATGTTGACGCTTCCCTGTATCTGGGTCAGTGGCTCCAAAGACAGCCGTGGGGAGAAGCCTGAGGAGGGTCCTCTCTCCCCGGCCCCGGCCTCGCCCCTGCCTGGCACCCAGCTGTGTGTTGCTTTCCCATTTAAAACTCCGAGCTGCCTCACTGTGGCAGAGGCACAGGGACTCCACGCAGAGGCTGCTTTCCTGAGAGGCTTTTCCAAGCGTCTCCTCCCCGGCCAGCTGCTGCATGGCTCCTTTCTCACCTCCGTGAACTCAGCTCTCGAGTTTTGCGGTCCTTGTGGAAAAGTCAAAGCTCCACTCATTGGCAAAGTTATTTTCATTACCTCCCTGCCATGTGCCTGGTACATCTTGCTCAATAGAAGTTTGGAAAGTCCGTGAGTGAGTGAGTGAGTGATGAGTGACTGACTCAGTGAATGAATGAGTAAGTGAATGCGTGAAAGAGTGGGTGAATGAATGAATGAGGGTGTAAATGGATGAATATATGAATGAGTGAGTGAATGAATGAGTGGGTGAGTGAATGAATGAGTGAGAGAATGAATGATGAGTGACTGACTCAGTGAATGAATGAATGAGTAGGTGAATGAATGAATAGATGAGTGAGTGAATGAATAGATGAGTGAGTGAATGAATGAGTGGGTGAGTGAATGAGTGATGACTGATTCAGTGAATGAATGAGTAGGTGGATGAATGAATGAATGAGTGGGCGAATGAATAAATAGATGAGTGAGTAAATGAATAAGTGAGTGAGTGAATAAATGAGTGGGTGAATGAATGAATAGATGAGTGAGTGGGTGAGTGAATGAGTGAGGGAATGAGAGAGGGAGTGAGTGACCAGGCAGGTGGGTAGGTCAGGGAGAAGGGCCGTCAGCCTCTCTGAGGACCTTTCTGTGGACCCCTGACCGCTGTATTTGGGTCACCTGGGCTGGCCAGCTGGTGCTTGGCCGGATGGCCACCCCAGGGTCAAGGCCTGACCCTCTCCTGGGTGAGGCCTTGTGCCTATCCGGTGACCGACCCCTCCCCGGTCCGGCTAACTGCCCTCCACCCGGGTCCCAGATCCCAAGAAAGCCCCTTCCTGGGGCAGTGGGCAGGACCCGGGGGCCCGCCGCTCCCACCCAGCAGACCTGTGGCGGGCCTGGGCACCCTGACCCCAGCGGGCAGGCCTTCCACCCTCCGAGCCTGGAGCAGAGGCGCCCCAAGCATGCTGGGCAGCCCACCCCCTCGAGGGGCCTCAGAAAGGTGTGTGTTCTTGGGTCGAGACAGCAGAGCGGGGCCTGGGGCTCTTCTGCGGCCATGTGGCCGGGCGGGCTGACTGACTTGCTCTCTGTCGCCCGCAGCTGGTACTGCGAGCGTCGGTACCAGTAGCTGCCTGTCCCTGTCCCAACACCCAAGCCCTTCTTCCGTGTTCAGACATCATTACATCCCGTACTTCCGAGGTAAGGCGCGCGAGGCTGCGGGCTGTGCCCCGGCCGCCCGCAGAGCGTCCATGTCTCGCTGTCCTGTGTCCGCTGCCGCATGGCTTCCCCGAGCCCCCGTCTCACGCCCGTGCTCCCCGCTGTGTCTTGTGTGTCTAGCTCTGTCGGTGTGTCCGTGTTCCCAGGAGGCAGGTTGTCATTCAGAATCACGAGTGAAACGAGGCGGGGGGAGGGTTCTAGGACCTACCCAGCGCCCACCTTGGGCTGGCTCCGGAGCCTCTACCTAAGTCATCCCATGTTATTTCCCCCTCGGCTCAGCGGGCATGGGGGACTGCTCGCCACAGTTATCGGAAAATGTCCGTGGCTTCAGTTCATGGTGGCCGGGCACCGCCCATGGCTGCAGCTCCTCCCAGGGCACAGACCTGCCCATCTGCCCCACCCCTGCCCGGGCACGTGTATGTCCAGGAAAAGGGCCAGTTCCTGTGTTATGGACTGAATCGTGCCCTCAGATTCATTTGCTGACGTCCTAAGCCCCCGTGAGCCTGCGTTTGGAGAAAGTGTCTTTAGGAGGTTATTAGGGTTGCGTGAAGTCATAAAGGTGGGGCCCTAATCCGATGGGGTGGGTGGCCTTTTTGGAGGAGGAACAGTCTCTCTGCGTGTGCTCAGAGGAAAGGCCATGTAAGGCCAGAGCAGTGTCTTCTGTTGATGAGAGAGGCTGCACCTGAGACCCAGCCCTGCCAGACCTTGATCTGGGACTCCCGGCCTCCGTTTCTGGGAGAAACGAATGTCTGCTATGCAAGCCAGGCAACCGAGGTGCTTTGTTACGCAGCCCTAGCTGACTGATACACCCTGGAAAGACTCCCAGAGCACAAGAGGAGCAGCGGTGGTCTGTTGGTTCCCCTGGAGTGAGTTAGGGTCCCCGTTCCTCACAGCTGCTGAGTGCAGAATGTTTCAGGAGAACTTTATGACCCCAAGAGACCTGGAGAGGCCAACCCAGTGGGATTATGCATCACTGATGGTCACCCATCCCGGCTCCTTGGAACTTGGACGGTTCTCACATGCATCATCATCACCCATCTGAGTGACCCCGTTAGTCTAATGGAGAAGAGAGCCCCCTGGTCAGTGGGGTGCCATCTGCTCCTCTCTGTGGACCTGGCCCTGCAGCTCATGGACTTTTTTTCGACATCCCGGCTTTTCTGAGAAGGAGCAAAGCCCCCAGATCTTGTGAGCAGGAGAGCAGCGCGGCTCACATGCATCTGTGTAGACAAGGGTGTCCTCTGATGGGTGTGGCCTCACCCAGAGGCAGACAGAAGACTCCGTGCAAATCAGAGGGAGCTTGACATTTAGACACGTCCCCTCAGGTCACCCAAGCAGGCGCCCATTCTTGTTTCGAAGGTCAGAAGGCTGAGCACACGGCTTTCCTCCCGCCCAACGTGGCCCTGCTTTGGGGTCCCTGGCAGAGGTACAGCCCAGAGGCGAGGCCGGGCAAGCTGCCCCACCCTGGGAGCTGGGCTGACTGCCCAGGAAACGGCTTTGTCCACATCCGTCCAGGGGGCCCCGGTGACTGCCCTTCCGCTCCCCACCCAAACGTGGCTCAGAGACTGTGCCACAGCCCCTCAAAGGGTGCCCCTGAGGTCAGGGAGGGGGGCACAGTGCCCTGCAGTCTGTTCCAGGAGGGCTGGCTCCATGGTGGGCCACCCTGCTTCCCTTCTGCCTGCTCTTTCCCCAGTTCTCTTTGTCCAGGAATCGGGCAGAGCCCCCACCCTCCTCTCTCATGGAGGATGTGGGGGGCGCTTGGCACCCCCAGGTCTGCCTGCTGCCTACTTCCAGGGCTGCCCATGACCTCAGGAGCCCCAGCTCCCTTCCCAGACTCTCCCCTGGGGAAATGGAGGCGCAGGGACAGCTCGCTGGGCTGGACCCAAGGGCGGGCCCTCGCTCACCAGGTGCGTCCACCTGCAGGCTGTGGAACCACTCCCTCTCCCCAAGACCTGCGGGCTCTGGTGCATCGCAGCCTGTGGTGCTCTGTGGCCAGCCGTGCCAAGGGCCACCTGCCTTCCTCTCAGCTGGTCATGGGGCCTGGTGTCCACCCGCATGCCAGGAAAGCCTTCTCTGGTCACTCCTCCCAGCAGCTCAGCTTTCTTGGCTGCCCAGCTGGAGATTTTCCCTCCAGATGATGCTACGGGTGGAGGATTCACCCAGGAGGGACCAGCACTTGCCCTGACCTGGCCACATGCCCCTCTGTCCCCACCTCACCCCTCCATTCCCAGACACACCTTCCCACCATGTCCTGGCTCCTGGGGCCACCCTCCTGCCAAGACCTGTGTGCAGCGTAGGTGCCCGTGGCAGTCATTTACACTTTAGTATGAATTTCAGTCCCTGGTGTGTCTCCCGGGACAGTGTGAGGTTTAAGCCTGACCTCTCTCCTGTTACGGAGCAGGCCACAGGGACCAGCCGGTGAGTGCAGGAGAGGTGATGCTGGCAGAACCATGCTGCTGGGCAGTAGGGGGAGGTGACCCGTGAGCCCCCCACCTCAGTGTGAGGGGGAGAGGGGGGCTGCAGAGGTGGGGCCTCTGGTCGGAGCCCCCTTGACCACCTGATGGCTGTGCCTGTCGGCACCTCCTCATCTCACCCGCTTCTGGAGCCATCTGCCTCGTGGCTGTGATCAGCCCAGGTGGCCTGAGGCAGCAGGCTGGGCAGGTGGAACCCGCCTGCATCGTGGTGTCCCATGGGAGCCCCACAGGGGGCTGGGGGCTGGCCTCGCCTCTGGTCCCCTTGAGAAGATCACGGAGCCAAGTGGGGGTGCTCCTGAGGGCTGAGTATGGACTGCTGAGCAGCGGAATGAAGGGCATTGCTGCTGGATCAGAAAGCAAAGTGCAAACGTCCACGCGTCCACACCCATGTAAAGGCATGACCGAATAATAAACCAGTGGGGAGAAGAGACCGACTCCCAGCAGAAGAGACCCCAGTGATTCACGGGGACCCTCTCCCCTCCCTGCCATCAGGTGGAGGCTGTGCCTGGCAGCTTCCCCGCAAAGAGCGCAGAGTTGGGGGAAGAGGAGCCGGACGTGGAGAATCCTGGGCCAGCACGACCTCGGCCATGGGGTCAAGGTCAATCGCAGTGCCAGATCACGTGGGTGGCAGCGGGGGAGGGCACCTCCCCTCTGGGCTCTTTCCCTCAAACCTGTGACCCCATCCCATCATGAGAAGACACCCGGCAAATCCTCCCTGAGGGGCAGTCTGCCAGACGCCCGCGCGGCACTTCTCAAAACCGCCAGGGTCGTGAGGTGCCCGAGAGTGAGAAGCGGTCACAGCCCCGGGGGGCCTGGGGGACGTGAGGACCGTGTCGCCTGGCGCCCTGGATGAGTCCCGGGGTACCCAAGGGACGCAAGGGGAAAACTGGTGAAATCCGAGTGAAGCAAGGCGTTTGGACAACACCTTGGGTGTTGTCCAAGGTGGCGACACGCCGGCTGCATGTAAGGTGGAACCGCGTGGGGATCACAGCGAACCTCCGTGTCGCCCGGAACCGCTCCACAGCAAAGCAGTGACTCCAGTGGGCAGGGGAGACGGCTGTTCACGGGCCGGGGCTTCCCGGGCTCCGCGATGGCCCCTTCCCAAGGTCCTCACGGCTCCCTGAGGGTGCTGAGGACCGTCCATGGCAGAGGTCAGAAGCGACCTGCATCCTGACCCACCTCCAGGAGAAGCCATGCATCTGGGCACGAGGCACGCCTTTTCAGCGTCGCCGCATGGTTGGGCTTGCCTCTGGATTCTCCCATCCCTGGTGACGGTGGTGGGGGTTTTGGCCACCGGGACCCATGGGGACGGAAGTGCCCAGGGCTCGGTCTCGCCAAGACCCCGGGCCCTGCAGAAGGTGGCCGTGGGGAAAGTGGTCTTGGAGGCCTCATGTGGGGTCGATGCGAGTGTGCGTGTTACCGTGGATTAGCGACACAGTGACTGGCAGGCGGGCGTGTGTCCAGAGAAGGGAATGGCCGGCTGGGCTGTGTCCTCTGGAAAGGGTTTGCACCTGAGCCTTGACCCATGCAGAGTCTGGACAGGTGGGGAGGTTTGGAAAGGGGGTCCCCCGAGGTAGGAGTGGGGGTGGTGAGCAGAGACGGATTGGATGAGGTCCTAGTCTTAGAGACTGGTGACCAGTGAAGATGGCAGGTGTGAGGTGGGTGTGACCTGTCCCCTGACCCCGATGAAAGCCATAGTCCTCCTCAGACACACATGCGCGTGCACACACACATGCACACGCACACACATGCACATATACATATGCACGCGTGCGCACACGTGCACACACACAGGAGTCTTGCTTGTGAAGTCGGATGCCACCCGGTGGCCCTGAAGACTGGGGAGGACAGGGTCCCATGACGTGCTGGAGTCTGCCCCGCCTGGGGGGAAGCAGAGAGAAACGGGCCACAGCGCCCCAGGTCAGGCCGTCCTCAGCTGCTCCTGATCCGAGCAGATGAGTGTGAAGCCCCGGCTTCCACGTGTCCTGTGCCCTGGGGGTCATGAGTCACGGCCAGCAGGGCGGGTCTGTGGTTTCCTTCACGCGCCCCATGGGCCTGGTCTATCCACGGGGAAGTGCAGCCCAGCCTGAGGCTCCAGAAGGCTCTGAGCTGTGCTGGAGGGCGGTGCTAAGGGAAAAGAGGGCTTCACGCCCCCTCCCTGGGTGGGGGACAGTCCTCTACCCGACATTCCGTCCGCGCTGACAGGTGAAACTGGTGCCCTGGCAGGAAGCTGCTGGAAGCTACAGTCAGTCTGGGGAGCTGGCTGTGGTCTGCTGCGCCCACCCTGCCCCTTGGACCCCCGAGGACCCCCACACACCACCCCCTGGCAAGAGCACCCCCCAGGCCCATCTACCGCCCCACCCCCGTTAGCCCACCTCCAGGTCAGCCCGCCCCGCCTCATCACGTGTCACCCTGGGGTCCTGCGGCTCCCAGTCCAGGGTATTTTCAAGTCGAGGTGTCCCTTTCCTTTCACCAAGCTGTCAAGGAACGCGTCCTGAGCTGAAGGGCGGGGAGTGAGTGGTGCGTCTGTGTGTCTTGCTGAAATGAGCCGTACACCTCTTGCGCCACGTTCAGCGCCCATGCCACCCCGTGTACCACCCCATCCCTTCAGCAGGTGTGGGGCGGGGAGGGGAGGGTCACCGGGCGAGCACGGCTGTCTAAAATCTGACTTGATAGTCCAACCTGGTCCGCAAAAACTGAACCGACAGGTCCAGACGGGGCAAAAGTCAGAGCCAAAATCAGACAGCTCTTTCCGTTTGGTTTGGCAAAAAAAAAACTGCTTTAGTTGGGAACGTGGCAGCTGATGGATGCCAGTTGCCTCTTTTCCTCCCGTAGCTGATAAAATTGTCCTCAGTGGTTTTTAAAAGACAGATGTTGATGAATTCTGGCACTTCAGTCCCCTGTTGTGAATGGATGATTTGTGAATCCTCCAAGAAATCAGCGTCTTTTTACACAAGGATACTTAGGAAGAGCTGGGGGCATTGAGTCTTGGTGAATCTGTGATTTTCTAGATTCGGGCAGCAGCCTGGCCGTGACGCCCCCTCCCAAAGAAAAGGGGGCACAGTCGATGGCCCGGCCAGCCGTCCCGGGAACTTGGAAGCAGGCTGGGCCCTCCCCTGGGCACTCCTGCTCCCCTACCCTGGGGCCACGGAAGGCGGTCCCTCGAGGTTGGATTAACGAGTCGTGGGGCCCCATCTGGAGGTGTCGGTGGCAGGGGGTCACACTCCCTCCCCTGGGCAGAGGGTGCGGAGGCCCCACGAGGCAGGGGAGATGGGGTTCCCGAAGCTCTCACGCTTGAAATGCTCTCCTCTGCTTCCCCCTCCCGCCTCTGTCTGCCGTCTTCGCTCTTCCGTCTGGAGGCAGTGAAAGTGGCCGGAGCACTCCCAGCCTCTCTGTGCTCTCAGACAGCAAGCCTCCCCCCTCCACCTACCAGCAGGCTCCTCGCCATTTCCACGTCCCAGGTAGGCGCCCAGGACGCACGGCCACTCACCAGGCAGACGGGCCGTCCCTGAGCTGTCGGGGCGGGCGTCTGCCGTTACCTCTTGGGAGTCGCATGTTCCCCCAGCTTCTTCATTCCCCACCACCCCCCCACCCCGCCCAATTCTGAGATGCTTTAAAAATCCTCAGATGGGTGGTGTTCACATCCCCAAACCGGCACATGTTTGAATCTCTCCCGAAGCCCCACAAACACTGGGGAGGCGTGGCTGCCCTTCCGGGAGTGGACTGGAGACGGGCCGGCCGGGTCCCGGTTGTCACTGGACACCCGCTCCAGCCATTCTATCCCTCTGCCCCCTTCACAACGGTGGGTGGCATCTGGGCTGAGTGCAGCTGATGTGTGTGGGGCCTGGGTGCCCGTCACTGGGCTCCCCGATCCTTGCTGGGGACCCTGGGTGACGGACTGCTGACAGATGGCGGGAGAATGGAAACCATCACAGAGTGCTTGCTCACCCTGCTGTTTCTCTCCTTTTTTTTTTTCTTTCTCCTTTCCCAGACACTGGCGTCAAAGATAACATCTATAGGAAACCCCCCATCTACAAGCAGCATGGTACATAGAGTCGGATTTCTCTGCTGCTGTGTTTGCCCTGCATGCCTGTCAGTGCCTTTGCTTCTGAATGCTTACACTTGCTCTGCTTTGATACATGATGGGGAGGGTAACCGCGGGGGGCTGCAGCCTGAACATTAGGTACGTGGTGTTTGCTGGCGAGATCCCGGGAGGCCCCTTCATAAATTACAGTGGAGAGTGTGTCCAAGTAAGCGCCTCTGTGTGTGTGTGAACCCAGGGCTGACTCGTGGGCCAGGCTGCAGATGAGGGCTTGTAACAGCAAGCTGGTCCCCGTGTGTGGCTTCGGGGGTACTGCTTTGAGGGGAGCAGCCAGGCTGCCTTTAGCCCAGATGGTGAGGGACGGAAGTGCTTGGACCCCAGGGTGACCCAGCCTGGTCTTTGGAAAACAGCACAAACCAGAATCAGTCCTTTAGCCCTCCGTGAGAATGTATAAGTCCTGTGTTTTGAGAATCTCTGATGGTAGAATTAACGACTTGGCCTTTGGCTAAAGGGATTTCAAACCTCAGCAAATAGGGGCCGGCGATGTCTGCCGGTGAGGGTGTCTCTCACCGCTCCCCGCCCCCGGTTTCCGTCCCAGACGTGGCCAGCCACCTCCACTCCACTGAGCCTGCAGGGGTCACGTGTTCAGGGGACAGGAGGCTCCGGGTCTCCCCTCTGTTTCGTCAGAGAATATCTGGTGATTCGGGATGTGTTGCTTCACCATCCTGAGCCTCTGCTTCCTCATCTGCAGAACAGGGATGATCCTCCATCCTGCCTTTTGGACAGGCTGGTTGGAAGGACCCGGGTGGGGTAATGAACGTGAAATCACATTCTAAACTGTCGAGGGCTGTGCAGGTGATGCGGGATTGTTATTAAACCCCTTGAGAGACGGGAAGGGGAGCGCCCATACTTACAGTTCTTGCTCAGAGGCATCCCCAAGACGGCCACGACCCCTGTTGACAGCTGGAAGGATGCTGTGGGGTGAAAGCCATCAACGTGTGTATTCTGGACTCCCCAGGCGATCCAGTGGTTAAGACTCCACACTTCTAGTACAGGGGGGCGCGAGTGCAATTCCCGGTCAGGAAACTAAGATACTGCATGACACGCAGCGTGGCCAAAGATAGTGTGTTTTTTTTTGTGGCTTACTGGGCTTCCCAGGAGGCACGATTAGTAAAGAATCCATCTGCCAGTGCAGGAGACACAAGAGATGCAGGCTCGATCCCTGGGTCGGGAAGATCCCCTGGAGGGGGAAATGGCAACCCACTGCAATATTCTTGCCTGGGAAATCCTCTGGACAGAGGAGCCTGGTGGGCAACAGTCCATGGGGTCGCAGAGAGTCAGACACGGCTGAGCACGCACTGGCTGGCTGGCTGTGGCTTACTGACAAGCCATGGTCTGTCTGTTTTATAAATTTTCTCCTTGACAGCAACAGGCCCTGTGCTTTACTGTATTTCTCCCTCTTCCCAAGAAAATAAAAGACGACTGGGAACTCCTGGGCTTCCAGGAGGTGATGCCTTTCACTCTTCCCCTTGATCGGAGAAGCAGGGAACCCAGGTCTTCCCGAGGGATCAGAGAGGGCGGGGCTCGTGGACCCCAGCACCCTCAGAGGTTGTCCAGACCAGCCTCCCATGTCATCCGTGGGGAAACTGAGGCACAAGAAGGCAGGAGCAGGCACAGAGTGATGTTATTCCGTCGGGGCGCCCATGCTCCAGCCTTGAGGCTGTCCTCATCTGCGGGGAGAGCTGACTGACTTGGCCTTTGATCAGCCGGTAACACGTCACTTACACATACAGGGTCGGAGGATCAGCCCCTAGGAGGGGGCTAGGCGGTAAATCAGGTTATGAAATTTGTCCCTAGCGTCTGATGGAGCCTGATGATCCTAGACTGAGAACTTCTCACACTGAGTCCCTTAACTGAATCATGCCACGGAGATTCAGTTTACCTATTTTTTTTTTTTTTTTGGCTGCACCGTGCAGCTTGCAGGTCTAAATTCCCCGACCAGAGATTGAACCCACGGCTCCTGCAGAAGCGCAAGGTCTTACTCACTGGACCGCCAGGGAAATCCCAGTTTGTTCTTACCAGGGGTGATCTTCATATTTTTTTTTTTAAATCTGGATATTTACACCTTTTCTATCGAAAGGCAAGTGAATTCCTCTTTGAACCCTGAGTAATGACCCAAGCTGTTTCAACGTTCTGGAACGTGGGCTTGTTGATCACTTTATGAAATGAGCCTTACAGAGTGCGTGCTCTCTGCCGATCGCTTTATGAAATGAGCCTTACAGAGTGCGTGCTCTCTGCCGAGTGCTCAGCCTCGCGCTGGGGTGGACAGGAGCACAGGCAGCCTCTGCTTGACTATGAAGGGGCCGTGAGAGGGGCAGGAGCTCTCAGGGGCCGTGAGTCCTCGCGTCCAGCTTTCCTCAGACAATCCTCAGGGTGCGAGGGGTAGGTGTGATGGGGTGCATTTGAGATGCTTTGATTTTATGAGATTTCCCCCTCTAGCTGGACCATATCCACCGGAAGTGCCTCGGGGGCGGGGGCATGCCTGTGTGTAGCATGCATGTGTGTGTGAGCATGCGAGTGTGTGCATGTGTGTGTTTTCAAGTCCATGTGCAGCCCCTACTCCCCACCTCAGCAGCAAACTGACCGTCCACTCATCTCTCAAGGGGGAGAGGAGCCCAGCTCAGGCTGGAGAAGCCGTCAGTTTAATCTCCCGACTTGCCCGAAATAAACTCCAGGTGGTGATGTTGAGTTCCTGGACCATTTAATTAGTTTGCTAAGTCACTACTACCAGGAGTAGGGTTCGAACCCACACAGACACATGTCCATTGGATCTTAAGTCCAACGCCTTAACCACTCGGCCATCCCAGTGGTAAGAATCCTGGAGTGAGTTGCCACGTCCTCCTCCAGGGGATCTTCCTGATCCAGGGATCGAACCCGCGTCTCTTACTTCTCCTGCATTGGCAGGGCTCTGTAGGAAGCTGAATGGCAGCCCACTCCAGTGTTTCTTGCCTGGGAAATCCCATGAATAGAGGAGCCTGGTGGGCTACAGGTCATGGGGTCACAGAGTCAGACTCGACTTAGCAACTAAACCACTAAGTCACTTCAGTCGTGTCCAGACTGATTTTGCCAGGCTCCTCTGTCCATGGGGATTCTCCAGGCAATACTGGAGTGGGTTGGCATGCCTTCCTCTCAATTAGTTTAAGATGATGTATTCAGTGAGCTTTAAAAATGTATGCTTTTTAATTAATGTATTTACTATTTAACTTTCTATTGCCGAGTCATCAAAAGTTGTGTTTAATTTAGCAACAGTCTTTCCTGGTGCCTTCATCCCACTTGTGTGTTTGGGGAAATGAGCCTACAGCATGAGGATGGCCAGGCCTGGGGACTCGGCGAGGGGCGGGCAGGGGGCACTGATGCTGAGGATGGGGGTCAGGGTTAGGATTAGCGGTTGCATAGCTGCCACAAATGCAGCATGTGTGCTGGGGTTCCACCTCGACATAGCCCGGTTAGTGGCTCCTCAGTCGCTCAGCCATGTCCGACCCTTTGCGACCCCATGGACTGCAGCACGCCAGGCCTCCCTGTCCATCACCAACTCCCGGAGTCCACCCAAACTCATGTCCATCGAGTCAGTGATGTCATCCAACCATCTCATCTCTCTCGCCCCTTTCTCCTCCTGCCCTCAATCTTTCCCAGCATCGGCGTCTTTTCCAAGAGTCAGCTCTTTGCATCAGGTGGCCAATGTACTGGAGCTTCAGCATCAACGTCAGTCCTTCTAAAGAATATTCAGAACTGATTTCCTTTAGGATGGACAGATTTGATCTCCTTGCAGTCCAAGACAAGGAAGCTAAGGTCAGGGCCATGAAGTGGCCATCGTGACCAGTTGATGGGCAAGTCAACCCCAGGTCTGCCTGACCCCTGAACCCGCTGCTCTCAGTTAACTTCATTAGGGGCCAACAGGATTTTCTTGGACTACATTAGTTCCATCTCTTGTCGTTCAGTTGCTCAGTTGTGTCTGACTCTTTCGACCGCATGGACTGCAGCACACCAGGCTTCCCTGTCCTTCATCATGTCTCTGCTTGGTTACAATTTAATGACATGTTTTTAAAAAAGGAATGAGAAAAAGAAGAAAGGAAGCAAAGGAAGAGAGTGGAAAATAAGGACTGGCAGAGGGCGTTGGACAGGCTGGGGGTCCACAGGGGGCCTCCCACCGCCCGCTAAACCTCCAGCTGTGACGGGGACCTTTTTGGGGTCCTTTGAACGGCCTCGAGTCACCCGCAGTGTTGAGCCCAGTGTTGACCCCCTGTGAGGCGGACAGGACTCCCCCACCAGCCCTGTCTCCTGCTCTGGGGAGCGGGGTTCTGGCCCCCAGGGGCTCGTGCAGCCCCGTGATGCCTGGCCCAGAGCGGGGACTTTCCTCCCAGTGCAGCGGAGCTGGCCCAGTGTGGAAAGTGAATTCAAGAGGAAAACGTAATGCCTCCCTCCAGACTTCCCAGGCAGCTGTCCAGCTGCGAGACCAGATGTTCTGTTTCACCAGCCAGAGCGTGGGAGCTGTTAGGTGGTGGCGTGCGTGGGAGGTGGTGGGGGGTGGGGGGTGCGCCTCACCACCTCCCACACCTGCTGTCAGCAAGGGGCTCCCTTTTGCCTCCCAGAGCCGCCCACTTGCACCAGGCCATAGGGGCCACCTGCGCAGCCTGTTAACTATTTCCCTGGTGGCTCAGATGGTAAGGAATCCACCTGCAATGCAGGAGACCCAGGTTTGATCCCTGGGTCGGGAAGATTTCCTGGAGGAGGGCATGGCAACCCACTCCAGTACCCTTGCCTGGAGAATCCCAAGGACAGAGGAGCCTGGCGGGCTACAGTCCTTGGGGTTGCAAAGAGTCGGAAATGACACAGTGATTAATACTTTTAAGAAATTAATCGCATCTCATATGTCTTTCTGGGATTCCTTCATAGTGGGGTGGAGGCTCATTTTGGCTTTGGGATGGGGGAAAGGGGATGGCTCTGGGCAGACCGCCCCTCTCATCAGGGCGCTTCCCGCAAAGGTCCCGGGTAAGCAGGGGCAAGGAGATCAGCCTAGCCGAAAAGGGTGCTCATGGCAGATACCTTCCACGGCTCGGATAGAGCCCCCTCGTGTGACAGGAAAGACACACACAAGCCCATTTCTCTGCTTTTCCTGAACCGATCTGTGGGTTCCTGACACCCCGAAACGGCCTGCTACAAATTAGCTGCATGGTTCACCTCTTGTTTGTTCCTAATATTTCAGACCTGTGAGCTGAGCATCTCATATGTGACAGGATCCATGTTCATCTCACGGGATCCTCTTCACGTAGAGGGGTGGGGCGGGTGTCATTTGCCCATTTTACAGATCAGGAAACTGAGGCTCAGGGCCATGAAGGGAGCAGCCCGCAAACCACACGAGGCGCCAGGGTCCTCTGTGTCCTTAAGCCCATCTCCCGTTTCTGGAGAGACCCCGCCGCGTGTTATACGGCTCTGGAAACCCCCTGTTTGAGTCTGGTTAGCTCGTCCACACCTCTTGGAGCTGGAGGCTTTTGCAGAGAAAACGTGCTGCGTGTTGGTGGAATCCCCCCACCACCAGAGGTGGGGCGCTTCTTTGAGCCCTGAGCTGGCTCTCCAGCCAGAACTCTTCTGCCCGCATGTGACCCCCAAGGCTGCGTGGAGTCCTCAGACCCAGGAGGTGGGGGTGGGGGCGTGCCGGTCCCTGGGCTCCAAAGTCAGGGATCTCACAGCCTCCACAGCCCTTCGGCTGGAGCCACTTAGTTGTTTGTGCGTTTGCAAGTTCCCCCAACTGCAGTGCCAGGGGCCTCTGCGGGCTGCTGAGGGGGGAGGCTCACTCACTTTGAGCAGGAGAGCCAGCCCTGGAGGCCTCCCCTGGGCTGGACAGTGGCCGAGCTCTCAGAGCCCCCAGTAGCCGCTGGCCGGATTGTCGCTGAGGCTGCTGAGCCAGCCGCCAAGGTCCCGGCTGATGCATGGCCCGATGCCCAGGGCCCCGCTGCCCAGCAACAGCCACCGTCCGGGCAGCGGGAGCGCCCACGCTGATGGGCGTGCATCCGCCTCTGTGCCCCGTCCCCTGCCGCTCCATCACGGTGCCCCGCATGCAGGCTTAGCACCTGTTGCCGTCTGTCGGTGGAGAGAGCGAGGTCTTTCTTTTCATGCTGCAAACCGCTGTCTCTCCCGGGAGAAGGAGAAACAGCGAGTTGTTGGGAATAGCGAAATGTCAGAGCGTCCAGAACGGTCTTCAACTGTGACCTTATCTTGTCAAGGTCCTGTAGCCCAGTCCCCCGTTTCCAAGCTCTCGGGTCTGATGTCAGTCTTGTCGTTGGTGGTACACAAGGCAGGGTGCTCCCAAAGGCTAGAAGGTCTGAGCCCTCCGCAGGCTGCAGGTAAGGAGCCCACCCTGGGCGCGTCCTCGGTCTCGGCGGCTCGGTCTCCAGCCTCCGTCTCTGTGGCAGGTGGCGAAGGACCCTGGGCTCTTCCTTTCGTGGTTCCGTGTGCACATGGGGTCAGTGCTTTAGCTCGGGATGCACAGGATGGGTCGTTACTGAATTGGATGCTGACAACTGTCGGCCTTGCCCTCGTGTGGTTTATTTCATCCTGTTAGTTTGGAGATGATAACGTAAGCCCAGCTGGGTGACCATCCCCACCCCCCAAAAAAAAGAGAAACGGAGAACACAGACACCTCTTGATTCAGCTCCAGAGAGTGCGGAGTGGCGGACGTTTGCGGGCACTCTCTCATTGAGCCCACCTCCGGTCGTGTGTTGCACCCCCTCATTGCTCTTCCTGGAGTCCTCCCACTGGCATTGCTCACTCCATGTTCTGTGTCTTGTGGGCAGTGAGGTGAGGCAGACAAGAGGAAGGACTTGGGTGTCAGACCGCCCGAGTTGCCTGTCAGCCTCTGCTGCCCACTGATCTGTGATCTCGAGAAAGTCACGTCAGGTCCCTGAGCCTCAGTGCTCTGATCTGAGAAATGGGTCACGTGGGGGTGAGCAGTAAAGTCTGTGAAGCCCAACCCAGCAGAGTCTGACCCACGGGGGGCTTGGCCACGGGGCCCTTCTGTTGCTTTAAAGTTAAACTTGGAAGGTAGAAAGCATGATCTTCGAAATGCCAAGTGGCCGAGGAGGGGTCGGCTGGAATGTTAATGAGACATCACTTCACACACCGGCTCTTGTTTTAGCGAATCCCATGCAAGGCCCCCCCAGCCCCTATTCCTGCAGGGATATTCCCCAGCCAATCTGGTTCCTCAGTCCTCAAAAGTACAAGTGCTGGCGACTTTTCTTTTTTTTTCCATTTTGAGCATGACTGTGAAGTGGGAACCAGGACGTGCAAACCCACCAGCGACGGTGCGCTCCCTTGACCGATCGATTTTTCCCTTCCAGCCGCGAGGCGATCCGATGGGGAAGATGGAGGTTTCGACCCAGATAACAGGAAGGTAATGAGGGGCAGGCCCGGTGTTGGGGGGCCTTCTCCAACTTGAAGCCGCAGCTCCTCCTTAGGTTCTGCACCTTAGGGGTCCGGCGCGGACCACATGGGACCAAATTTAAGGGGTGGTCCCACCAGCCTCCTCGCACTGAGGAAGCAGTACCTCTTCTACCAAAGTCCTCATTCTTTGCTGTGTAACTTGAAAGTGAAAGCGTTTGTCGCTCAGTCGTGTCCAACTCTTTGTGACCCTGTGGACTGTAGCCCGCCAGGCTCCTCTGTCCGTGGAATGCTGTCCATGCCTCTGTCCAGGCAAGAATACTGGAGTGAGTAGCCATTCCCTTCTCCAGGGAATCTTCCAGACCCAGGGACAGAACTCAGGTCTCCTGCATTACTAGCAGATTCTTTACTGTCTGAGCCACTTTTGGTTCTTTAACCAACGAGATGACTGAAAAGAAAGGAAAATAAATCTTGAGTCCACCCTGGCTCAAGAGCCAAGACCCTTTGTTTGTCTTTAAGGAAGGTGGGTGAGTGTGGAAGGAGCCCAGGGCTGGGTTACCCGACACCTGCCACATGTGACCTCACTTGGGGCCCTGACCTCCCCAGCCTCAGTCTCCTCATCTGTAAAATGGGGCAGTGCCCCTGCAGGTCAAGTTGAAATTCACAGAGCTTCTGTTTTTTCTCAGCAGAAGACCAGCTGGCTGATTCTCAAGGGGGAGGCAGACAGGAGGACCAACTCTCCAGACCTAGACAGCCAGTCTTTGTCCCTCAGTAGTGGGACCGACAGAGGCCCTCCCCGGACGGTGCCAGGGGATAACTTCTACTCACGTGAGTGGTTCTTCTGAGCAAGAGGCCGTCAGTGTGGCATGAAAGGCCTTGAAGAAAAGGGGCCCATGACCTCGAGCTGATCCCCCCCAGATCTAAGCCTTGCTCCTTAAAAACTCCGAGAGCAAACCTGCAGACAAAAGGGCAAGTCGGGTAGGAAGCAGACCCGTAGCCACGCACTTTTCTCTCCTCATTGGTGTCTGAGCCAGCAGGCTGCCCGCAGGTCGCGCCAGTGCCCCGCTGAACTCTCCACTGCTGGGAGGAGGCTGACTCAGGCTCCTGGGGTCCTCGGGGAGGAAAGGGCTTCCAGGCTGGAAGTGAGGGCCTGTTTTCCTCTGGAGCGGACAGAGCGTGGTCCAGGCGGTGAGTCCAGACTCGGGGCCAAGAGCAGCGCTGTCCAGGGCGGTGTGTGAGAACGCTGACCCGTGTTATTGTGTGCCCCTCCTGAGCAAGGGGCCGGGACCCGGGACCCCATGTCCTCAGGGAGCGAGGTGGGATAAAGACCCCCATCTGTCTGATCCAGGGGATCGTGACACTCAGTAGACGTGCCCTTCAGATGTTGAACAAAACTCCCCGTAACGCTCTTCACATCCGGAGGCTGTGAATTATAGAGGAAACAGCAGCAAGCTGGTGCACGCAGTAGATGACAGACGGACTCTTTGGGTCTCGGCAGCTGTGGGTGGGTTTCTGTGGACAAGCTGGAGGTTTAGTTTGGAAGTAGAGAAGGCCAGGGGGGGACGGGGATGGGTGTGAGAAAGCCCAGGAAAGACACTGGCTTTGCCTTGAGAGAGGCCTGAGTTCAAGTCCCAGCTGGACACTGACCTTGAGCCATTACGCCGGTACTGGGCCTCAGTTTTACCCGTGTGCCTGGAGGGGTTGTTAGCCACCCGGGGCGGGGAGGGGGCCCGGGAGCCGCCAGCGCTCAGCCGAACGCATAGTAGATGCTCAGGGAACGATCGCTTTTCCTCACCATCATCCTCATCCTCGTCCTCCCGACTGTAAACTGTCTCACAAATGAAGGCGCGTGTGTTCCGACATGGGTGGGGGGCCAGGAAGCGTGGAGGTGACCCCTTGTTAAAGAAGACGTCTAACCAGAGCAAGCGTGTGTCGTTTTATGTGCCGTCTCTGTAGGCAGGCGTCCATGCGCCCCGTGCCTCTCCGGCCTGGGCGGCCGCTGTCCAAGTGAAAGCCAGAGTCACTGCAGGGCCGGCATCCCCACGGGAAGGTCACACCGGGAAAGACCCTCAGCAAGACTCATTCAGTTGGCGGCCCGGGGCAGGAAAGGTCGAGGCAGGCGGGGTGGGGGTGAGGGGTGCAGGGCTGCTCACAGGAGCAGTGAAGGGCAGACCCCGACCTCGCAGCTGCAGCCGGACCCCCAAGCCCCTCTCTGTCCGGGGAGGTTCGGGACTTGCCCGTGGCCCCGGGTCACTGGCCTTGATCGTGGCCCTTTCTGCTTTTCCAAATGGTAATTTTTCAGAAGGTGGAGACCTCCTACTGCGCCAGCCCCCCAGAGCACCCCAGCAGCGCCCCAGTAGTCCCCCTTGGGGGCACCAAAGCACTAGCTCCCAGGAACGGACACTCTGGGGTCCTCAGGTGGGCTTTGCCAGCCTCGGTTCTTCCCTTGCTGGGTGGTGGGCAGGCCCGTGTCTGCGGGGCTGGTGGCCTCCCCTGGTCTCTCCTCTGGGGCGGGGAGCAGGCAGCTGCTGTCCCCGGAGAGTCACTTCGTGGCCTGCCTCTGGCTTGGGGCTTGGGGAGGGGGAGGCTCCATCTGGGGAGAAGTCCAGGCAGGAACAGGCTGCCTCCTGGTGACCTCCCTATGCTGTGCTGACCTGCCCTGTGACCTGGGCGTGTTTGCCCACCTGCCTGCACCGCTTCCTCATCTTGTGCCACACGAGGTGCCTTGGGGTCGCTCCAGGCGTTCCTCCCGGGCAGTAGACCCTGCAAGGCCTGGAGGCTGTGCAGCCGTTTTGGGCAATCACACACCTGTGAGGTCTGTGTCAACCCCATTCCTTGCCGCTGTGTTCCCATCACAAGCTGCAGGGATGCCCGGACTGCGGGAATCGCAGCGTCTGTGCTGGAATTCGTGCTTTAACCGGGCGAGCCCTCTGAAGTACAAACAACCTATGTCTTTGTTTGTATGTGTATGTGTGTATATGTATGTATGTGTGTACACGTGTATGTATACATGGGTGTGTTCACATGTGTATGTGTGCACAGCTGTATGTGTGTGTATACGTGTGTGTGCAAGCCTGTACATGTGTGTGCGTGTGTGCACACATCTGTGTGTGTGTGTGTGTGTGTGTGTGTGTGTGTGCATGCATGTCCTCCTTCAGGAATGCAGGCTCACAGTGAGTGTGATAATGCTTCTGTCATCGCTTCACTTTCTGCTGGTGTTCTGACATTGGTTCCTGCAAATGGGAAGCCCACAGTGTCTGACCACTGCACCTGTGACTTCATCTCTGCCCTGGTGATACCGCTCTGTTCCCATCCTGCATGGAAATAGCAACGAGGACCCAGGCTGCTGGTCCTGCCTAGGTCAGGCGTGCCTTGCTGTCTGCCAGCCTCCTGAGAAATTTGGGCTGGATGAGCAGCACCCCTAAACTGAGAACAGAGGGGCATCCACCTTCTTTTCTCAAGTTGCATTAAGAAAATGCAAGTGGCCCCCAATCGTGAGTGCATCAACCCCAGCTTAATTTGCAGTCACTGAACAGAGTGGTTTGCACACAGCAAGGCTGGCCCGCCTGCATCCTGGGACATCATCCGTAGCACGCCAGAGGAGGGTAGGACTGTGACACTCAACACAGCGGGCGCTCAATAAATGTTTGTTGAATTGAGATGCACTAAATTCAACGGGTATTTATCGAGCACCCACTCTGTGCCAGACGCTGTGCGGGGCGCTGAGGGAGAAACCGAGAAGACAGGAGCGGCCCCCGCCGTGGAGAAGTGTGCAGGGAGCTGGGACAGGCAGAGATGCTGCTGGGAGCCAGAGCACACACCCCACTGCCTGCCTGGGGTCCACCATGGGCTCAGAGGGGCCAGGCACAACCTCATCCCACTCATGACACCATCAGCACATCTCACCTGAGGCTGAATTCATCGTTCAGTCACTCACCCATCCCTTCACCAAACATTAACTGAGCACCTACTATGTGCTGGACACAGTGCTAGGCAGCAGAGAGGAGGTGGTGAATAGGACCCAGTCCCTGCTCTCCCGCAGGGAAGCAGGTGGCTGAGAAACCTGTGTGGTATCTCCCTCCTCTAAGGCAGTGGTTCTCAGCCGGCACGGCTCGTCCCTCCAAAGAGGTCTCATTGAAACACGTTTTATGTTAGAGTGCCGTTCTCTTCCTTTATGCGGCACCTCAGGCGTTACCTGTACTAGGCATGTACTTGTCTGCATTTGGCTCAGCTGGTGATGAATATGCATGCAATGCGGGAGACCCAGGTTCGATCCCTGGGGTTGGGAAGATTCCCTGGAGAAGGGAACAGCAACCCACTCCAGTATTTTTGCCTGGAGAATTACATGGACCGAGGAGTCTGGTGGGCTCGAGTCCATGGTGTCACAAAGAGTTGGACACAACTGAACAACCAACGCTTTCACTGGCTTGCTTTCTTTCATGCCTGTAGCCAGTTGTATTATTGAGGAATCTGATTTTTGCCCAGGAAAGGGATGGTACTGATTTTCTGTTACAAGCAGAGGATGCGGTTCACAGGATGAAGGACCCCAGGATCCGTGGGCCTCTCCCCTGGCCTAGACCCTGTGGCCCGGCCTGCTGCTGCTCTCCCTAGCCCTTCAAGTCCTGTCCTCCTTTTGAGGCTCCCCACGTTCCCCCCACCACTCGGGGTCAGAGGTGTGACGATGTCAGACAGAGCCCCAGGCTGGCTGAGACCCTTCCCTGATCACTAGGTGAGCCCTGAAGAGGACCTCACCCTTCGGAAGGGAATCAGGCATGTGAGGGTAGGCTTGGAGGTCAGGGTGAGGACTGCTCTGCATGGAAACCAGGCGGCACAGAGGGGTGGTCCAGTGGGGGCCAGCGCTCCCCACCCTGCCTGTGACTTTCCCGTCTTGTATCACCTTCTGGGTGTCCGTCCCCGTGGAGTCCTGTCCACCTGTCTCCCGCCTGCTGCCCACCCAGCCAGGGCCTGGCCGGAGGCTGGGGTCTGGGACTGTTTCATGATCACCAACCCCAGTGCCCACCAGGGGAAGGTCGGGAGACGGCATCTCCGTTCAGCTGTGTCTCCCTGCTAACAGCAGCGGGAAAGCGGGCGTCAGATCTGCTCGGAAGTGGCTTTCCCCGTCCTCCGTTAGCCCTTGGGAGTTTCCAGGCCTTGGAGAAAAAAAGATTGTTCTCCCGTTGCCTAGTCCGTGGTGGAAAGAGAGAGAGAACCGATTTGTGGTGTGACAACCCATGAGAATTTCAGAGCGCGGGGCCGTGCTCAGTTCTGGGCATTGTGACCTGAGACCCGGGGAGCAGAATCCACGAGCATCACACGGATGGGCCATCAGTCCTGGCCCTCCTTGTCGGACAAGCAAGAGAAGGCCCGGAGACGGGGCGCGGCCGCCCAACCTCAACCAAGCTTTGGTGAGGGCTCCCGCGCCCTGGCCCTGGTGTGTGCTGGGGGCACAGCAGAGTCTGCACAAACGGTACCCCCAGCCCAGGAGCTGGCGGTCTAAAGCGGGTGGAGGGGGGGTGACAGAAAGTCCAGATGAAAAGGTGAGACATATGGCGCCTGCCTTTGCATGCTGGACGGCATCACCGACTCAATGGACAGGAGTTTGAGCAAACTCCGGGAGGTGGTGAAGGACAGGGAAGCCTGGCGTGCTGCAGTCCATGGGGTCGCCAAGAGTCGGACACAACTGAGCGATTGAGCAGCAACAGCATAGCACCTGCAGGTCAGGGGGCCAGGCCCAGCCCGGGGCTCAGGGGAGGAGGGTGCTAAGTGAGCAGGCTTGAAGAGGGAGGTATCTGGGCGAGAGGACCCTCCCCACAAAGGTGAAGCCTGGC